TGAGCGGATGTCTGGCTGCCAAGAACGATGGATTTACATCTCGTGATGACGGGCAAAGGGCATCTCTGACCCAACACGGCCACGATTACTCTACAATTCAAATTCCAGTCTCCAGCGGTGCGATGGTCTTGCAAGGCATGGGGAAGTGGCATCCCCTCCCCCGGATTATCACCCCAGTCCGCCAACATCGAGGCGCGGGATTTCGGCAGATACAGGTATTGAGAATCACACAAGTCACAGCCATGTTTCCCCGTTTCGTCTTCAAGCACTTAAGCATACAGGGGCCCCTTTCTTTTAACCGCTTGTGGGGCCGAGGAGGTGGGGTTCGTGGAGGCGGAACATTGAATCCATCTTTTGGGCTTCTTCTTTTTTTCCCTCTGCTTTGCTCCGCAGCGATATGTTATAGCACTATTTGCCTTCTCCAGATCTCTCCGCATTTCTGAGTTGTGGCGCCAAGCCATCGAGATGCGCTATTGTTAGCATCAGCTGGGATTGGGGCCCTTTGTTTCGAGGATTTTTTTTTGCTGCTAGCTGGCCGCCACAGCCCTCTGGACAGGAGAGTCTCGGCCACGACATGGCGGTCCAACGAATCCTAGCTCTCAGGGCTCGTACAGGCATACGAGTAGGTATGTCAGACACAGAGCATCCATCTTTTGATGTTGCAACCATGTGCCAGCCAACCAGGCACCCTGGTCAGCTAAACGACCACTCGTGGGGAAGGTTGACGGCAGCAGTCCTTCGCCTCGAATGCCTAATAGAGGCATGCCGTCAAGCGGGCTGCTCCCGGGTGGAGTCTACTTGAACTGCTGGGATTCATGGAAATTCATTCATCAATCGCTCCGTGCTTGACGGCTCCGATCTGCGCAGAAGCGCTATTACTCGCGTACGGCAGGTTACATGTACATTCATACCGTACACACGCGTACTTCACCTCACCTCTCCGTTGGTGGCTTGCGCTACAGGCTACGGTTTGTGGGATAAGGCTGCTGGTACAATATAGTACATGTAAGTTTATTTCTACGTCTATTTGCCATGTTCTCTTTAGGCAAAATCCCTTAGCCTCGTTGACTTGTGACCGACATCGTCTCCCCGCCACTAAAGAGTGGGAAGAACGTTGGGTCAAAGAGATGATCGCAAACACATGCGGCAAGCTCATGCGGCAAGCTCGGTCGCCTACACTGTTACATCCCGCCATCTGCTGCCATCTCCAAGACTAGCCAGTTGGGGATCGTGGGAGGACTCTTCCACCCATCTAGATAGCTCTCTTTGGGGACGCCAGTGCCCGCTGGTTTGGCATAGACTGCAGAAACGTACCACACCCCTTGGCCCTGGGGGATCTTGTGCTGCAAGGTCGGTATTGTTGTCCGACTCTCCATGAGATTTGTGTTGGGATCAGCATTCACAAGCATGGCCTGTCGTTGGCCGTGTGGTTCTAGAGCCTTGATGCCAACAGCTCCTCTGTCCAGGGCCGCCGCAAAGGCACCGTTGAGCCCCGTATTCCAGCCAGCCGGTGTGTTGGTATCATAGTTGCCAATGATCTTGGGGCTTGTTCCCTCGCCCTTTGATTCATCGTATAGATCCAAGTATCTTCCGTTCTCGGAGTTGACGTTGCGGATGGCAAAGGCGCCATCCGCGGTCATGACCTCTCGACCAGCTTGGATGTGATGTACCCGCAGATGCCAGTTTGGCGTGCTTCCAACAGGGGGCACCAATAATGTCTTGATCTTGACATCGGCAAAAGGCTTCCAGACCGAAACGAGGATGGGCTGGCCGTCTCGCTCTTCAATAGCGGCATACTCGGAGAGCCTCCTCGTCTTCCAATATTCGCCGCCATCATCCGATAGCCCCAGCTGCGATGCCAAGGCATATTGCTCCAAGGAGAAGAGCCCGGAGGGCACGGAGTATCCAAAGGCGCTGCTGTATGCGAACCCTCCATATTTGGCGTGGGTGGCCTTCATTGGATAACCGCAAGCTTGGCCCGAAGAGAGGAGCATACAATGTCCGCCCAGGTAACTTTAACAACGATTAGAATTGCACGGTCAGCAGAACGTTTCTAGCCTTCCCATTGGTGGGTAAATGAGGCTGCTCTCACCTGGTAATGTGACCTGGATGCCGAATTGCCTTGATTTTGGGGATCTGGGGGCTGATTGGCTCCTCCTCTGATGTCCAGAATGGATGTTGCTCTGGAACGGCCAGGCAGATGAAAGCTAAACATGACCAATACTGATCATTGTCCCGTACAGTTAGTACGATGCCTCTCTGGATGATGCCGAGATAGGGGGTTGCATCAATGCTACTCACAGGACTTCCAGGGCTATTGTAATTCTCGGTAATCTGCAAGTGTTTCACGTGAAATAAGGGTCAGCGATCTAGCATCGGAAACAATATGGAACCTGCATGAGTAGCCATCGTGATCATCACACGTACATACATGCTCGGGTACGAAAACCCGAGAGACAGCGTCCCACTCGACGTCCAGATGTCACCCTGTGTCTGCCACCACCTGAAATTGCGGAGGACAATTCCCTTGACCATGCCCCACGTTAGGGGAGCCGGCAGCTCGACGTCTGCGTAGGCCAGGGCGCCCCAAAAGGCGACCATGGCGAAGCGGTAGACTAGACTACGGCCAAACGGGATGGCTCGGCCGAGCTCGTCATGATAGTGGACGAGGTCGAGGGCGGCGATCTCAGCGCGGTGCTTGAACTCCTTTGCACGAGACGGATCAGCCTTGGCGGCGAGCTTGGCGTAGAGGAGCTGGAGGAAGTGGATGGCGAAGCTGGAGGAATAATAATCCATTTCTGCGGAATAACAAAAGGCGTGAGTATTAGGGGAAAGAGAAGTCTAAGGGAAAAGCAAAGTGGGAGAGGAGTAGACTAACGATGAATGCCCTCAGGACCGTCGTTGGACCAGCCATCTCCTCGGTAGAAGGTATCGAGGTGCTTGATGTCGCTCTCGAGCCGTTCCTCTGAGTATTTGGCTCCGTTTTGTTTGAGTCCTAGGTTGGCGAAGACGCGGAACCAGAGCCAGTTGGTGTTGGGCATGCTGTGAGACTTTGTCAGTGAGTGAAGGATATTTACAGTATGATTTCTTGCAAGGACTGATCAGACTTTTTCTCATTGATAGAGTTTCCAAGCCAATTCTCGACATTGACTCGCTCCTTTTCCGAAAGACCGTTCCATAACTCTGGTGCGACGGCCAGCGCGAATCCTATACAAGATGATGCAATCAGCTTCCGTTATTTTCAGCAATCAACTTCCAATATCAACAGTCACATGAATTACCAAAAGGGCACATCTCAACCATGCGTTGGTCATTATCACGAGGATATCCCCAATACTCGGGGCTTTCTGGGTCAGTGCCGGCCTTGATCCCCTGAACCCACCAGTCAGTGCCCCGATACTGGCCACCCCCGGCCAAGAGGCACGCCAGACCCCAGATTGGACGGAAGAAGCCTTCTACTTCGGACGCGGTCTGGTCGAATCTGACGGCCGTAGCTCCAGGGCACTTGACGCGGGCCTTTTGGGGTGAGAAGAAAGGCTCGAGAGGGTCAAGCAGCGTCCGGAGAAGCTCCTGGACTGAGGCGCGATCTGTAATGGGGACTTGGGCAAAGGGATGCTTGTCATTGTAACCAAGCGTGAGGGGAGCCATTTTGAGATTGGTTGAGCGAGTTTGCTACTATGATTGTGTTTCGCTCAATGTTGTATGTGGTTCAACTATCTTGACGCTGCGTACATGGAGGTTTGGGGAAGCTTTATTTTATTTCACGCTACAAAGGTAAGCATCATGAGCTTTCTCCGGCAGACAAAAAGGCACTAAAGAGCTAATGCTTGGACAAAGTGGTGTGCAAGCCATGCAAGCTCTAGACTATTATTTTTTTCGGATTTGATTGAGCCGAGCTGCTCTGGGTGATATCAGACTGCGACTGCGGCATCGCGAGTGAGGGGCAAGATGGGGTTTGTGTGGAGAATGGACAAGAGGAAGAGGAGAAGCCAAGCGAGAGCTACAGTACAAGTATTGTATCGTTGGAGGGATAACTTTTGTCAATTGCTCCCGTCTCTGATGGTTGAATGAATGGTGGGGTAATTCCAGCGGGTATATGACGTGTTTAGTTATGTCTCCTTTCTTCTTCTCTCTGTTTTGGGGTAAATTTTGCATCTATTAGATGGGTTGAAAAGACCACGGCAGGACGGCAGACGGCAGTAAAGATGTGCATGCTCAACTTCGGTACATGAGGGTCTACAAGGCAGCTAGCAGTTCCTTGAACCCTGCATGACGGTCGATCATTGTTGATGGGGCCTGGAGTTTGCCGGCTAAATTCAAAGGATAATGTCTGCATGTATGGATGGATGTATTTTGCAGAGTCACTTTGTATCGATGTTGGAGAAACGGAACCCGGCAGATAGGATTTGGTCCGAGGATAGGATTTGATCTAGGAATGACTCGAGTGGGTGGGTGTTAAAATGGATGAGTAGGTGCTTAACTAGGAGCTCGAAAAAGATGGGTTTTGGAGGTATCGAGGTGTGATAGTGTATGACACCCAGTTAGAACTGTTTGTTGTGAGACTGTGGATGTTGTACTATTGCTTGAGTTGCGGGCTTAGGAATGTGGCAGTGATTAAAGTGAATGTGTGGTAATGATTGCAATGGGCTGTATTGAGTATATTGCTCGCCATATTGGACATGGATGTGAGAGTGTCGGCAGTAAACTCTAGAGATGCATATAGTATGCAGTTAAACAAGTAGTCAGAAAATAGACTCTAATACGAGTATATATCATCAATTTGTCTAGTTGCTAGCCCGAAATTAAACCTCAATGAACCCTCCAAGACCAACGAATGCTTCGCTTCAAACCTTCTGGTTACAAGCATGCACACACGCATAATATGCTACCCTAGAGCCGGATTTCGCTGTCGTGGGCTAAGAAAGTATCGCCTAGACATCTCCCAGAATGATTTAACATAAAGTTCTTAAAATCAATTGCGTCCTGTTAAATAATTGAAGCAGGACCGAGTGACTTTAGATCAAATAAAACATGTACATTTAACGCCATGTTGACATCTTTAACTTCCACAAATCATCTCAATATCACCTGGGTGACAACTCGACTTAGCAGTATCACAACCTCATCCCAGCCAAAACCACACAATGTCGACAGCAGATTCAGCGTCGGCTGATCCCGACACAAAACCAGAGCCCACCAAGACCGAAATCGCGTCTTCATCACCACTCTCCTCGCTTAAATCTGATGATTTTGAGCCGCCATTCACGCCGGTGCGACCGCGGCGCAACGTCACTGCTCCCAAGCGCTTCGGAACACCATCCAATGACGACTCCAAACCAATCCCGCAACAGCCAAAGAGGAGCACTCCAGCGAAAAAGAAAGCGAAAGTGCCAAAGAAGGCTGAATGGGATATTGAAGGCTTGCTAAAGTGCTCAGGGTCGCCTCTAGCCTCGGCGAATTTGAGAGTTTGTCCAGCCTCCCCCTTCTTGTCCAGATGCAGCTTCACCGGGGTTTCATCCTCTTGAGAAGTTACGAGAAAATTCAACGTCTAACTGAATGAGCAGAGCATCCTATGTAACCCCATGGCATGGTCGGCTCTGGACCAAGATGACAAGGCGGAAATCCTGGCTCTCTTCCCGGACAAGGGCCACATCCTTGACGCTGGAACGGAAGACGCGCGACCTAACTTTGCGTCGTTGATGAACGACGACAGCTTCCGCTACGACTGCGCCGCGTACACGGAGAACATTGCGGAGGGCCGTCACGATCCGGAGTGGCTTGCGGAGGCGTGGAGTGCGCATGAGAGGAGGAAGGCGGGTGATTTCGACCAGTATCTGATGGGTAAGCTGGAGGAGGAGTGGGGTGTTGAGATTCCCGAGGAAATGAAGATTCGGAGAGATTTGCCTGAGAAGAAGGCAAATGGGAGTGCTAATGGAGAGACAAATGGGAGTGCGAATGGGGATGCACCGCGAATGAAGATTGTGTCTAGGAACAGGGAGGTGCGCGATAGTATGGAGATTGATGAACTTGCGCTCTAAAGTTTTGGGGGTGTTTATGGAGCGGATGGCTGAGCGTTTACGATACGATACCAAAGGGATACAGAATGCATAATTAACTACCTAGTGAATACCACGTCTTTGATCGAGTCAACCAGGTATTTGTATCATCATCTCATTACCGTACCCAGTGATGATTATAGACATGTCTGTGTTTTATTGCTGAGATTCTCATAGCTCGATGCCTCCTATTGACACGCCTGTGTTTTATCTGAACTTTTACAATCTCGCCAAATACTAATATCCTCATGGTCGGACATGTTGAAAATTCGACAACCATATATCCCAGTTGATGCAAACCCATACCTCCATACATGCACATATACACACAAGCATATAGTACATGTCATAAAAACGCCCATCACCTAATCCAGCTAATCACTGCCCAAGACGCAAATACATGACGCTCAAGAAGTCTTTGCAAAATCAATAAGAAACTGGGCTAGTTTCTGCGCTCCCTCCAAAGTAATCGAGTTGTAGTTTGAGGCGCGGATTCCGCCCACGCTACGATGTCCCTTGAGGCCGGTGAGGCCCAGAGCAGTGGATTGCTTCAAGAAGTCCTTTTCAGCAGCATCGATGTCGCCGCCCTTGGTCACCCTGAAGCAAATGTTCATTCTGGAACGCACCGACTTGTCGGGCACGACGCGGTATGCGTCGGGGTGGGAGTCCAGAGCGTTGTAGATGAGCTGGGCCTTTTGCTTGGAGAGCTTCTCCTGGCCGCTGACATTGTCTGGGAAGTTGGCGAGAGCCCTCTTCAGGACTTGGCCGGCGATGTAGACACTTGAAGAGGGGAATAAGAGTTAGTATGTAGAGATGACTTGTCTTGGCAGAGAGATGGCTTACTCGAAGATGCTGAGCGTGTTGTACAAGCTGTTGTTCTGAGCAATGGTGTCGTATTGCAAGATGATGGGGGGAATAGGGAGACCCAGCTGTCTCATCGTTTGCGCCGAGGGTTGTTTAGTGATGGGGGCAATGAGGCTCTTCTTGATGATGACGACGGTGATGCCGGTAGATCCTAGGTTCTTCTGGGCACCGAAGAAGATGACGGAGAAGTTCTTGACGTCAACCTTTCGCGAGAGGATATTTGAGGACATGTCAGCCACGACAATGGGGCCTTTGCCGTCAGGGCCGGGAGCCAGAATCTTGGGGAACCCGGCAAATTCCACTCCGTCGACTGTTTCGTTGTCGCAGTAGTAAACTAAAGCAGCATTCTTGGAAAGCTTCCAGGTGCTCTCATCGGGAATGATGCCAAACTTGCCGTTGTTGCTGAGTTTGGCATCAGCGACGATATTGACTTTGTCTTGGCCAAACAGTCTCGCCGCTTCGGCCGCCGCCTTGGCTGACCAGCTGCCGGTGACGATGTAGTCTAACTTGAGATCATTATTAACTGCGTCGTTCAAAAGCTGCGTCTGTTCGGAGTTGTTCTGTCCGGGCTGTGAGGAGATCTCTGCTTGCTTGTTGGCGACCCATGTGCCTACCATGTTGTACGCCGTGCTGGCGAACCCGCCCGTGCCGCCTCCCTGCATAAAGAGAATCTCATAGTCATCGGGGATGTCGAGGAACGTGGCCAAATCAGCCTTGGCCTCGTTGATGATGGTGTTGGCAATCTCGGAGCGATGCGAGTGTTCAGCAAGTCCGAGTCCAGTCTCGTTAAAGTTAACCAATGCTTGGGCGGCCCTCTCCAGTGTTTCTGTAGGAAGTAGAGCCGGGCCGGCACCGAAATATGTGATGTCCTCTCTGGCAGGCATTTTTGCTTTTGGGTTGAGTTGTGATGAGCAGAGAACCAAGTTTGAGTGAATGAGTGAGTGGCTTATCGAGTGTAAACTTGGGCGATGTTCGGTGATATTTTACTTGGACGTTTCTGGTTCTTATAAGCCGACAAAAAAAAAAAAAAAAAAAATGCGGCCGTAAGTGAGTCACGAGAAGAACAACGGCGAAAACAAGCTCAATGGCACCGACAACGATGCGAGTTGTGAAGAAACTGGACTAGATCCGAGTTTCAAGTGAAGTGAGTCAAGGGTGAGTTTACATAATGTGTCGGAGCCTGGGGATGAGATAGATCTTGCATCGATGCTGTCCGACTTCGCACTGGCCGCTCTCGTAGAAAAAGCACATGTTGCGTTTTTGTTGGCGTTTTATTATGCCTTTAGCAATAAGCTGGCGTCACAGTAATTAATTCTGTCTACCTACTAACTACTAAGGTAAGTATGATGCTACAGTGCCATAGTCCAAGTAAGGTAGTACTGATGAATTGGGCTTGTTTTTGGGGGTCAATTGAGGTGAGTTTCGCTATTCATAGTTGAATTGCCCATGATAACTAGAAATTTCACTCGACACATTGACTGCAAGCTGCAATGACAGCTGCTTTTGAGATTCAGGAACGGACTCTGATGCTGTTCGATTTCTTCGCAGTGGAGCGTGCTAGCAAGGTCTCAAGAATTACTGACTCATCCAATGACCACAGCTTGGTTGACTGTGGCTGAAGAGTGCTTGCAGTGGGTGGCGTCCGACTCTCCAGCCACAGCAAGGCGACGAAGCTTAGGTTGCCTGGATGCGTTTCCCTCATCAGCCATATCGCAGCACCAAACGGCATCTTTCCTTCGTCGCCGCGCCGTTACAACACAAAACTCGCTTCTTTCTCCCCTCCGAGACTTTCCCCGACCGCAGTGAATCACCATGTTCAGGAACAACTACGATAACGATTCCGTCACCTTGTATGTGGTCTGCCCGACTGGCTGGAGCCCCTCCAGCTGCCGTCGCCTCGTAGCTCCAAGCTCGCCATAGCTGACATGACATTCGTCTCTAGCTCGCCGCAAGGCCGCATCTTCCAGATCGAATATGCGGGCGAGGCCGTGAAGCAGGGATCAGTGGTGGTCGGAATTGCCAGCAAAACACACGTCGGCCTGTTTGCCGTCAAGGCAAGTTTGCATCTACCCCTCAGCATATACACCCAGAACCAAGGCTGACCTTGGCCCGCGTGGCACCAAATAGCGAAACGCAGAGGAACTGTCGTCGTACCAGAAGAAGCTTTTCGAGATTGACGAACACACCGCCATTGCCATCGCCGGCCTCACATCAGATGCCCGCGTCCTGTCCAACTTCATGAAGCAGCAGTCCCTGGGCCACCGCCTCACCTACGGCCGCCCGATCCCCATACACACACTGGTCGGCATGATTGGCGAAAAGGCACAGATCAACACTCAGGTCTACGGCAAGAGGCCGTACGGCATTGGGCTGCTGGTAGCTGGCGTCGACGAGAACGGCCCCCACCTGTTCGAGTTCCAGCCATCGGGTATGACGGAGGAGATGGTTGCGTTTGCTATTGGCGCGCGAAGCCAGATGGCCCGGACATATTTGGAGCGGAACATTGAGTCGTTTGCCGACTGCTCAAAGGAAGAACTGGTCAAGCACGGCTTGAGAGCGCTCAAGGAGAGCTTGGTACAGGACAAGGAGCTGACGGTCGAGAATACATCAGTGGGATTGGTGGGCCTGAAAGAGGGCCCCAACGGCCGATCAAGCATCGAGCCCTTTAAACTATACGACGGCTTCGAGGTCAAGTCGTGGATCGAGAGTGCCAGCGAGAGCCAAGGAGGCGAAGGAGAGGGAGAGGGAGATGCCGCCGCGGGCGAGGGAATGGAGGTTGACAGCTAGACGACAAGGAGGCACTGATGAACTAGAGGGGCTGCGGGAGAAGAGTTTAGATCATGTATCACTAGAGGCTGCTTGGGACAGCACAAATGGTCAAACTTGGCATGAATGAAGGAATAATAACAAAAAGAAAGAAAGATACCTAATCATGATATTACTCCCGTTCCATGACGTAATTGTAAACCTGTCTATGGATATATAACGTTATATCGTTTTGCTGAAAACCAAACCATTCTATACCATACATCAAATACCTCACATGCAATGATGATTTTTTCCTGAAAGCTGTCCAAAGAAGCAAGAAAATAAACAAATAATAATTAAGCAAATGCAGGGCTTGCTTGTTTGCAGTCCTGAACCGTCCAAGCATTCCCTTTGTACGGTTTATCCTCTATATCCCTAACCTAGTCCGAATCTATTGTGTTCCCCATTCCAGTTTAAAAGTACCCTCGGAACCCTGGTAGTTCATCAGACCCAGGATGGCGTCCTCGGCGGTGTTTGCGGTGACGAGGATGTCCTTGTTGGGCAGCTTGACGAAGCCCTGCTCGACGGCCTTGTCGACCCACTGGATGATGCCGTCCCAGTAGCCGTTGATGTTGAGCATGCAGATGCCGCGCTTGTGGATGCCGAGCTGGTTCCAAGTGACGACCTCGAAGAGCTCCTCGACGGTGCCGTAGCCGCCGCTGAGGGCGATGAAGCCGCTGCCGGGCCCGCCGTTGAAGACTTCCTCGGCCATGAGCTTCTTGCGCGTGTGCATGTCCTTGACGACGGTGGTGCGGCCGTAGGTGGACTCGGTGGGCACGTATTGGTTGCTGGTGTTGATGGTCTGGTAGGTGCCGTCGCGCTCGTACTTGACGAGGGCCTCGGGGATGATGCCGTGGATGGCGTCGGGGCCCTTGAGTTCGCACAGGGTCTTTGCGACTTCGCCCATGAGGCCGACGGTGCCGCCTCCGTAGACTAGATGTTTGAAAAAGAGATGTTAGCAGGGGTGTGCCTCTCGTTATGGTCTTTTGAGAGGGAGGTGTTCTGTAACTCACCAAGGTCAATATCGTTCTCGGCCATTACTCTGGCGAGCTCTCGGGCGGTTTCGACATGTTCAGGGTCGTTTCCTGCGCTTGAACCGCAGAATACGCAGATCTTGGTGCGAGGAGTGCCGTTGGCGTTGGCGGTGCCGTTGGAGGCGCCGTTCTGGCCGGTAACGGTGCTATCAGCAGTCATGGTGGGGGATCTCTAGATTTGTCGTTTCTGCGTGGCGGGGTCGAAATCAAGGACCGAAAAGAAGCGACAGAGCAGAATAAGAAGAAGAAGAAGAAGAAGAAGGATGACGTCCCGATTTATAAAACGATTTATATATGTCTCTCCAAAGTCTTGAGCAGACGGGGGATTGGGCAGATGCCTAAGGAGTGGTGGGTATGGCTTTGGGCGTTAAGAGCCAGACGGTCGAGTAAAGAGCGAGGCTAGAGGCTTCAATTTCGTTGGTTGCAAGAGCAGCGAACCAGAGTTCAATCTTCGTCGAAAAAGAAAAGAGAGAGAGAAGAGAAGTTCGAAAACAAACGGTGGCGAACCCGGGGCTAGATATAACTGCTGCGAGTGACAACTGCGAATTACGCCAAAAGTTGAACGTTCCAGATCTGACGGCGCAAACGCTGCCACTAGTTTCGAAGCGCCCCCCGGCAGCCATCGGCCACCGCCGGCCCCCATAATCGATGGAGGGGACTAGAGACTAGCGGTTTGGATATCCATATTCCCAAACTTCGTGGCGTGGGAGTCATGCAGTTGCCGGGGACCAATGCGAATGTGGTAATTTTCAAAAATTGCCAAATTCGCTCGCCGCAGGCCGAGATCGCCCAATTGGCGTTTGTTTCGGGCGGTGGGACAGGTCTCTGACAGTCTTCCCCTTGGGAACTTTAGTTTTGGTGTTTTCGTGGCTCACCTTTGTGCAACGGCAATTGAGGACTTCATTTGCTGGGTTTCGTAGGGAGCTGGGTGAAGGAGGTCAGCAGGACAGGGCCGGTGAGAAACAGCAGATTCTGAGCTGGCGAGGGAGAGTGGGTTTGTGCTTCAGTTGGATGCCGTTGGGTTTTTTTTGTCTTGTGCTGTTTTGCATTTGAGGCTCGATATCTGCATACCGCCACTACAAGTACAACCTACTCATGCATCACTGACCTGATTGCCATGTACATGTATTCTAATCCTGTTTCATTATAGACAACTAGGATCTACCATCTAGGCAACACTGAAACAATGCCGTATTCACATGTCCGATTCTCGCTAATCATCAGAGATCTTTACTCAGGGCTTCTAGATGCCAAGATGCGTCATCTGGCCGTTTTGCTCGGTGACGGCCCAGTGGATCAGGGGCAGCGTGTCACTGCAAAACACGGCTCAAAGTTTGTCGTCGATCGGGCTTCAGTATAATCCCGCCTTGACTCGCTACAGCCAAGAGGCTCTTCTTTATCCGTCTTCTGCTTCTTCTGTCGCCCGCCATATTCCAGAGCTCTCTCTCGTGCCACGGAGCCTGCCGCTGATTCGCCGACCCGGGTGGATGGGGCCCACGGCGCCGATTTACTCCGGCCGCCGCCGCCTGCCGCTGCTCAAGTATCTTTTTGCGCTGCGCAGTGTGTGATGGGTACACGAGCTCGACCTAGGCCAAACACGGAACTGGACCTCTCAAGGCTGCGTGCTTGCGAAAGGCCACATGCATCTTGCACAATTTTGAAGCTCTCGCAACGACGCTCGCCTTTCTGCTTCCAGAGCGACCAGCTGCTCTCCGGACTCACCACCACAAGGCGAAAAGGCGTCTGACGGGTCTGTGTCCCACGCGACGCCCGACAGTCTGCGCAATGCCCGAAACAGTTGCGCAACGGCCTGCGGGCCAGGCGGCACGGCGCCAGGAAGACCAAGGCAGTGTAAGTCAAGATTGCCGGCCATATTATGTCTTGAATGCGAGCTGACAAGTTGTGTGCAGGGCATCAGCATGAACAAAATCATCATGGGTGTCGTCTTCTACCTCGGAGTCAACGTCTTCCTCAGCTTCTACATGGCCAAGGACCAGACCGGCGTGGCCACCACCAATCCCGAGACCGGCGAATCCATCATCGTCCCCGGCAACCTGGGGACCATCCCGCCGTACCAGCTTCGGCCGCGGCACCTCGATGAGGGCGCTGCTTACAGGCACATCCCCAAGACCATTGCCCCCATCTGGCCGCAGGACAGTCACCTGGACATTGTCGTTGCCATCTCGCCCTCGTTTAACCCGATCCCTCTGGCCAATGTTCAACCCGAGTATATCGTGCTGGACGAGAAGAGGTTTCACATGAACAACAAGACGGACAAGCGGTCAGTCGATACCACCTTTACCGTGCCGGAAGCCGTGCAGAAAAATGGCACGCTTTGGGGTCACTTCTACATTGGCCTTGCTGGTAGCGTTCTGGATCCTTATCTGCCCAGCTATGACCCCGGCCGAGCATACCATGTTGTCCATCCTCTTACCCAGTATCTGCCCAAGAAAAAGGTAGTCAAGACAAGAAATCTGCTTGAGGACCTTCCTTCTCCCGTAGAGGAGCCAGAAGAAGTGGACACGTCGGGCCCTCTCATTTCAAATTACTACCACCAGAATGCCAGTTTCTCCCTGGTGCCTGGCCTGGGAGTCAAGGACTTGGACACTATTCACCCTGCCCTCAAGACGTTCCTCCGCCTTGAGGCAACCGGCGCCCGCGATGGCACGGGCCAAAACGGCTGGTACTGTAAGTCATGCCGTCATGGTACATTTGTAATGCAAATTGACGAGCTAACCCATCATTTCTCTTAGATCCAACTCTCTTTGTCAACACGTTCTGGCAGTTGAAGACCCACATGACGCTCCTTAATGACACAGTCAAGGAGCTGCCACTTCACATCGACCTCAACAACATGCCCGGCTGGCAATTCTATGCCATGGCCGCTGTCGAGCAAAACTCGAAGGAGAACGCTCGCCAGGCTGCCCTCGGCAACCCAATTCCTGGCGGCGGTGATGGATCGGAGATCGAAATGATCAAGGAAATCTTTATCGACACCAACCCCATCCTGCTCGGCATCACCGCTTTTGCCAGCATTGCTCACATGATTCTGGAGACGCTTGCCTTTGGATCCGACATTGCCCACTACCGCAAGAAGAAGGACAACGTTGGCATTTCGGTCCGCTCCATCTTAGCCAATGTGTTTATGCAGACAGTCATCTTCCTGTATCTGCTAGACAACTCGCAAAACACGAGCTGGATGATTCTCGGCACCCAGGTTGTCGGCATCGTCATTGAATTCTGGAAAATCACCACCGTCGTCAACGTTCGTTTCCAAGAGACGGCCCCTGGCTCGCTTTTGCCGTACTGGTTCGTCTTCGAAGACAAGCACAAGCTTACCGAGACGGAGGAAAAGACCAAGGAGTATGACGAAATTGCTTTCAAGTACATGTACATTCTGGCGGTGCCTCTACTAATTGCCTACGGCATCTACTCTCTATTCTACGATACCCACAAGTCGTGGTACTCGTTTGTCATCACCACGCTTGTCGGATCCGTCTACACCTACGGCTTCCTTATGATGGTTCCCTCCTTGTACATCAACTACCGACTCAAGAGCGTGGCGCACATGCCCGCCAAGGCCATGATGTACAAGTTCCTCAACACCTTTATTGACGACCTGTTCGCCTTCACCATCAAGATGCCCTTCTTGCATCGACTGGCGACGTTCCGAGATGACGTCATCTTCTTCATCTACCTTTACCAGCGATGGGCATACAGAATCGACCATACCCGTGTCAACGAGTTTGGCCAGGGAGGTGACGATGATGAACCTGTTGATAAGAAGGATGAGAAGGACAAGGCTGCCATCAAGGATGCGGCTGAGGAGCAGAGCGAGGCTAAGGCAACCGGCGCTGATGCCGGAAAGGCGACTAAGAGAAAGTAAGCCGTGCTCTAATGCTACCGACCTGTATGCCGTATCGATTACATGTAGTTTGGGACTTGGGATCATAGCAAGTAAATAGACTACGCGAGCTAATTGATAATCATGTAAAACAAAGAGATATAAATAGCATAGCTCCTCTCTCCGCAATAAAGAACCCTGATCGCCAGGTACGAGCACTAACAAAGCAAGCGCCGAGCCGTCAAAAGTAACTTCGCGATGAGGCCTCACGTCTGGGACGCCCTCATGTGTTAGTGGCCCCCTTGGCTATTGTTTCAGGATGGATGACAAAAAGGTGGGAGGGGTGAAAAGCTTCAGGTTGGCCGGTCATTGTTCTCGCTAACCCGGGCTGACACACCAGGCTAAGAACCACTGAGCTCCCGTGATGAATCCCTCAGCCCTATGGAAAGCAAACGGCGGGATTCCGTTGGACCACGAGCCCCTAATTTCGTCTTTTGGTGGTGGGTGGTGTCATTAGATGTGCATAAGTGCAATGTAGGACATTTCGATGCCGAAGCGAAAAGACAAAGAAAAAAAAAGGGACCATGAGCGGGCTGCACATGGGGGAGGCGTCACAGCGAGTTCAACCCCTGTAATCATGGCGTCTTCCCAAGTAGCCGGCGCCCCTTCCAGCGCATTTCCCCCCCACCGACGGCCTCCAACCAGAGGCCGCGATAGCGCATCAAGCCACATAGCGGGCAGCATTTGGATCTCTCTCTAAAGCGCTCAGGTTGGCCATCTCCAACTCCATCCGTCATCTTCCATTCGCCTTTGTCTTCGTCACTCTCGTTGCTCATCCTGCCTCCCTTTTTCTTCTTCTACTGCTCTTCTGCTTTCCCTTGGCAGCGTCTGCGTCGTTCGTCCTGATTCGTTATCCCTATCTTATCCCTTTCTGCCACAGCCTCCAGCGGCCCACCGTTTTGCAGCACAGCCTCGTCTTCTTCTTGCTTGTTTCTAACCGTCTGGGGTTCACGACCGAATGCCGGCCACAGCCACAACGTTCTGCTGAAGATTTCCCACGGCGGCCCGTATATCCATAACCTTACTTTGATAGTAATAAACGGCTTCTTCGACCCAAGCGCGCTACGTCATTTGGAGAGCTTCACCCAACCCGTGGAGCTTCCCCCCATGCGACGCGCCCGTCGACGGGTGCTCTTCGAGGCCCCTTGACGAGTGCCGTTGATCCATTTTGGCTGATCCATCCATCCATTTGTTGCTCAATACATAAGCAGTGCCACCCCGTGATTGTGCGTCGTCCTCTGGCTATCAGATATCACCACGCCCCTAGCCCACCTGCTCAAGTTGCAAGGCGGGGTTCGCATGCCAAGAGAGACTCATCATCCTTCGTCTCCTCCTCACCAGAGCAATGGGCGTCCTCGATTCGGTTGGGACACTGCTGGCAGAAATTGCGAATCTCATTGCCGACGGGCAGCGCATCTTGAGCCTCTCCGACAAACGGCATTGGGGACAGGACGAGCGCGAGCAGGAGCGTGCGCTGGACTCGGTGCTGGACGAGGCTAGGAAGGACTTTCAAGAGCTCGGGCCGCTGGTCAACGGGCGCTCGCAATATGAGCATGATCGCAGACGTGAGAGAGAGCCTCGATGGGACAGAATGCCTGCTCAGTTACTAACTTAATTTGTTGCCGTTAGATGATTCAATGGAGGAGTTGCGGGCGATTCGGGCCAAGTTCCAGGCATTGACGGATAAGCTAAAAGACTGGAGTCGATCCGGCGGTCCTATCGATCCGACCTGGGTGCGCGAGACATATTCACTGAAACGGGAGCTACATCGAGCTCAATGTCGGGCGGCAATGCGAGTATTCACATCAGCGCGGGAGGCTTCACAGCGGTGTCTGGGTGCGTTCATCGTACAGCGGAAGCAGCGCGCCCCTACCCGTGACGCCAAGGCCGGAATCAAGCCCGACGAAAACACATATCGGAGATATTTCGCGGACGAACTTTTGGCATGCAAGAATGTGGGAGCCTTTCAGCGGTTTGGGGATCAAGATATTGCGTTTGTCTGTGACTTTTGCGACGGCCATTTGGTTTGGGAGGACATAGAGCGCATGCCGACGGTGCGGTCGTCTACTCAGGCAGTGCCACCCGGCTCATCAGATAAACCAGTGTCATTGTTGGCGAACGACTCGAATTGGCAAGCATTGGCCTTGTCCAATTGTGGTCAACATCAAAAGCAGATCATCTTCGCCCCGGTGGCCATTGCGAACCACATTATACCGACACATGGAGATTGGGAAGCCAAGCTACTATGTCCACTCTGCGAGGCGATTGGAGAGCAGCCGCAGGACGAAGATGACGATGAGGAGCCGTATCGTCCGGATGAAGAGTTTGACGACGTAAAGTCCTTACAGGAGCACCTCGAGTGGCAGCATGGATCAAGCACGCTACCAACTACAACGACAGCCGACAATAATTGCTGTGTCATGTGAGCCATGGGAAGTTTCAGGCCCTATTTTATGCGAACAGAAAGGAGAAGAGGGAAGTGAGAGAGGCAATACCACGTCTTTGATGGGGGCTCAGCGAAGCATCTGATTCGGAGTTTGTGGCGAACAAGGTTATGGCGTGGTTTTCTTTTTTCTTTTTTAATTCAACGGCAGCTGAATCAAGTCTGAAGAGCAGCGTTGCCTCAGATGCAGAAACAAGTTCAAGGGAGGATAAGAAAAAGTTTCGGGACACTTGTGGTGCATAGAAGCATTAAGTCACATAACTGTATATAGAATATAATGGATATCCATCAACGCCACGCTCCGCTCTTTGTGCATTGACAACTCGATGTTTCCCTCCCACTTCCCCTTTGTTTGCCCATGGTTTCTTTCCCAACCCCTGTGTTTTCCCTTTCTTTTCTTTCCCCTCCCTCTCTCACTTGACAGCCAATCCGGTTACGTCTCTTCTAAAAGAAGCGCCAGTAGATGAAGATCAGGATGAAGAAGCCCAAGCCAGCAAACGGACCATACTGCTTGAGCATAAGCTCCCAGTTGATGCGCACAGCAGCCCGACGATACTTTTTGCTATCATCCCTCAGACGACTGCTAATCTCGCCCATGCGCTCAAGATTATCGCCACGATAAAGCAAATCCTCGATATTCTTGGTCATAATCTTCGTGACGTCGCGCAGCTCGTCATTAAGCTTATCGAGGTTCTGCGCAGCGCGGGCGTCGGCGTAAGTAGTGCGCGTCTTGGCGATGAAGTTGTCAAACTCCATGAAGGCGTAGGGCCGGAGGGCCGGGTTGTGGATGGCCTGCGGGGTGTATGTGGTTGTGAACTCGCGGGAGAGGTCGGCGAGGTAGGTGAAGGCGAGCTTGCGCGGGTAGGAGCGCTCGCAGATGCAGAGGAAGACGACGTCGGAGTCGATGAGGTAGTGGATTGTGAAGAGGGTGGAGGACTCGATGCTGGCTTGGGACTCGGAGTTGCGGGTGAGCTTTCGCTGGACTTGGCGGAGTTGTTGCTTGACTTCGTTGAGGGCGGTGGAGTCGGACTGGGGAGGGGAGGGTTAGCTGGTTGGTTGATTGGGGTAGTGATTGGGAGAGGGAGGAGGTTTTGGGCGAACCTGAGACTCGTCGTCGACGGAAGCGCAAAGCATGAGGCCTGTGATGGTGGGTTAGTTGACTGATGCTTGGAGGTTTTGGTTCTTGGATGCGGTCGACATACCATCCAGCCTTGAAATCTGTGTTGAGCGAATCATTTTGATGTGATGATTATGTGTATACGTATACGTTAAAAGAAGAAGAAGAAGAAGAAGAAGCAAAGTCTCGCGGACAAAGTGATTCGTATGGGCGCTGCCGAGGAACTACGTGTCAAGTAGACGCACACGACCCTCGGAGGGGAATCGGCCACCAAATATCCACGCGGACGACTTGACACGCTAGCCGAAAAGATGAGATGCCTAATGACAGATAATATCGAATTGGTGTTTGAGCCTCGAGAGGGAAGTGCGAGCTCGAGTCCGACGTCTTATATATCGAGGAGTATGTTTGCGTTGTCGATAAGTGTCGATTCTGTCTGGGCGTGGAAGTTGTTGGGTGTGGCTGACGCTATGCGATTTGAGTGGCGCAACCTTTCATGTGCGCGTCAGTTACTCTGGTAGAGTGCACATCAATGTAATTCATTGTGGCCGTGCATCATGGACATTTTCTCATATATGATGGAACTGGTTTTTTTATTATTCTTGCCAATATGTTTCTTTTTCCTTTATTATTTCGTTTTTTTTTTTTCTAAGTTACTTTTATATCTCGTCTTCTTCATCGTCAAAGTCGTCCTCTCTACCCATCTCATACAGAATTCTGCCTCCCTCGCCCGCTCCAATATCCGTCTGCGCATCAAAGTACGGCAGCACAATCCCCTCTCTATCCTTACGCTGCTTCTCTGTAAGTCCCAAGTTAAAAGTACTCTCGGGCTGTTCGTCTCCTCCCTCTCTCTGTTCGGCTTCGGGCTTCTTAAACATGGGATGATCTGTGAGCAGACAAAGCTTGCCCACCCTGGACTTTGCCGCTGCAGAGCCAGGCATGAGGATGAACTTTTCATCCACGGCACGTCCGCTTCTCCTTCGTAGCTCCATGCTAATGACGACTCCTACCTGGTCCTCGGATTTGCCCTTTTCTGCGAGGCCAATGAGGATGCCTTCGCGGTGTTCTTGAAGGCCCCATTCCGGCTCTACGACGCTTCTGTTGCGCGCCTTTTGACGTTCAGTTTCTTGCCGCAGGTTTGAGAGTGTCAATACAGCTGTGGCTAGGTGGCATAGCAGCGTAAACGGGTGAGGCTCATATTCGTTGAATGACTTTGGTAGAATGACTGGTACATCGGTGTGATATACGCCCACAATGGACACTACCGGGGTGATGATGCTTGATAGGAAGACAGCTAAGGACTGAGTGGCTGCCGAAGAAAGAGAATTCAATGAGTCAATGAACACGACAGCTCCTACATCATCTTAGCTATGTGTCTTCCATAGGGTAATCGGGATCGCTCACTCTGCGCAGTTTTATCCTTGAGAGCTGATGGTTGGAATGAGGGATACTGTGCTAAAAGTTCTCGGGCCACAGTATTTGAATCTTTTCCGGTAGCTTTGATGAGGACATCTGCATCTCGTGGCTTGCGGAGTGTGGAGAAGGACAAGAAGATGATTTTCGTCTTTGCCAGCTGGTAATGGAGGTCAGTTGTCTTTTGCATATATAATATAGAAAATATTGCAGGAAATACCTTTGCTCTGGTCATGAGTTCTGAGATGACGGGGCGGGCGGGCTGTTCAAGGTTGTCGAGGAGGAGGGTGAGAGGGCTGGCGGCATCTCGAAAATTTAGAAGCCTTTGAAGCAGAAGCAAGCTGTGAGAGCGGCCATGGGAGTTTGCTGTGGGAGCCATGGCTGGTGAATTTTTGGTGGTCAGCCAAAGAACACCCTATAAAGGCGTCTGTCTGTATGTGAAATTCTTTGGTTGGCTGCGGTATTCAAGTTGCCTATATGAGTGAGGCTTGAATTGTGAAGATGTTCATTTGACATATCAACGGCTGGATCCGCTAGGACGCTTTGACTTAGTGCAGAATTGATGCCTGAGAGACCGCCACGGGCACTAACTGTAGTGAAAGCCTCCACTAATTTTTCAGTGCGCTCTCTCACAACGTTCTATCTGGTCTCCATAATGCTGAATGGACGATATGGCTCTCATCGTCTCAACACCAACACTGAAATTTTCCTTTCGCCCGCACATCGCCAGCCTCGTCTAGGACGTATATATTGATGCAACACACTTTTGCCACTTTGGATTTCACAGCCACAGCCTTCCTCTTTATTAGGGAGCTCAAAACCCATGCGCCGCCACAGCCTGCTGCTACAGCACTTGACTCGCGCCGGCAGACGAGGTCCAGGTGTTGCTTTATCAATTCGAGCGCTCAAAAAGGCGCCGTCAAAGTCATGTTCATGTAACCATAGCCTGAGATCCTTTTCGGGCCGGGCTGCCAGAACCAATGAGCTCGAACAGCTCAGCACTAGGTTTGGTGCAGGTACCAACGATACGATATACGCACTTTCGACGGCCCAAGGCAAGGCAGGAATCGCCGTGATTCGCATCTCTGGTCCGGCATGCTTAGACGTAAGTGGGCAGAATTCCAAATTACAAGACGCCGTCAAGTAACCAATCATGACCTTTTGTTTTTATTTTTAGATATACAGAGCCCTGTGTCCATCAAAGGCACTGCCAAAGCCTAGATACGCCTCTGTGCGATCGTTACTCGACCCAAAGCTTACCGGACTCCAACGAAGTGTGCTGGATTCGGAGGCAGTAGTCCTCTTCTTTCCTTCGCCCAAAACGGTAACCGGAGAAGATGTATTAGAGCTGCACATTCATGGTGGCACAGCTACGATCAAGGCGGTTCTAGCAGCTATCCCGCAGTGTCTGTCTGAGCATCGGATCCGCTACGCCGAGCCTGGGGAGTTTACTAAGAGAGCGTTCCTGAATGATCGTTTAGATCTCGCTCGTGTCGAATCATTAGGCGACATTCTCTCTGCAGAGACAGAGCAGCAGCGGCGCGCAGCCGTCAGGGGAAACTCGGGAGTGTTGGCTCGCAACTATGAGAGCTGGAGAGAGGAACTTCTCCTGGCCCGGGGAGAGATCGAGGCGTTGATCGACTTTTCAGAAGACCAACATTTTGATGAATCACCGACGGATTTGCTAGACAACGTAGCGAGGTTAGTGGACAACATTCTCCGAGGCATTCACCTGCACGAGCAGGGTGGCCAGAGGAGTGAGTTGCTGAGAAGCGGTATCCGAATCGCACTGCTTGGGCCGCCAAACGTGGGTAAGAGCTCGTTGATGAACTTGATTGTCGGCCGTGAAGCTTCGATTGTTTCTGGCGAGGCTGGCACCACCCGAGACATTGTAGAGGCTAGCCTCGATATTCGAGGATATCTGTGCTCCTTTGCGGACACGGCCGGATTCAGGTCGAGCGATGATCTAGGACCGTCGGGGCCGGTTGGGGCAGTAGAGCTGGAGGGAATTCGTAGAGCAAGGCAAAAGGCACAGCAGTCAGATATCGTTATCGTTCTGGCATCTCTTGAAAACGGGCCGTCCGGTCCGTTCATCCTCTACGACCAGGAAACGCTGGACATTGCCGCAGCGGCCGAAGCTCGCCTTATCGTGGTAAACAAGAGAGATACGGTCGAGCCCGCAGAACTCCAAAGGATGCTGGATGAATTTCGCCAAAGATTAGGCGAAAAAGTCCCCAGGCTGGGATCGGCCCAAATAGCCGCCATCTCCTGCAAGGAGGCCAGCCTGAGCTCTGAGCTGGGCAACAAGGATCCAGGACGAATCCACGCTCTGACAGAGACCTTGGTAGGCACTTTCTCGCAAATGACAGAGATGCCTGTCGACTTGCAGGATCTGTTGGGGGTGACGGCACGCCAGGCACAGCTCCTGGCCCGATGCAGGGGCCATCTGGAGGAGTTTCTGGCGGAAGCGCGCCCGGAGGATGCGAGTGTCGAGGCGGACACGGTGCTTGCGGCGGAGTATTTGCGGTATGCGGCGGATTGCCTGGCGCGCATCACTGGCAAGGGGGAGGCTGGCGATGTGGAAGATGTCCTGGGCGTGGTCTTTGAAAAGTGAGTTGATGCATTCATTGCCAGTGAGTTACTTTGCAATGCTAATATGCGTTCTAGGTTTTGCGTGGGAAAGTAGAGACTCAAGGTTAGAGAGAAAACTCTTGTACTATTATTCTACACTCTAGATAAACAAGTTGGGAAAAAGCAAGAAGAAGTGAAGAGAAAGAAACGGTGCTGTAAAGCTTCAGAGGTCTACCCAAAAACAGAAGAAACAAATCGACCGAACCCATCCATGTATAGCTGGCTGCCATTTGCAGCATGATGTCTTGTTCCCATATCCAACGCCGCGTGAATGTCATCAAACCAAAAAAGGGGTGAAGAAGAAGAAGGTGAAGATGAAGAAAAGAGAAATCCCAAAGCCCAAAAATATCCTATGCCGATACAAGTACAGAGGGGTACAAAAGAAAGTGGATTTTTTTTGTCTTGTTTTTTTCCAGGGAGGTGGTATTGCCGTGTGGTTTTTTTTGTCTATCCGTCTTCTCCATGCGCCTCTGCTGTGGCGAAACGAAAATGCCTGTGAAGGCACTGGATGCTTTCAAAAAAGAAAAAAAAGAAAGAAGAAAGTTGCAAGAAATAGCAAGAGAAGCCGTTTAGTATTCACGGGCATCGGGCCGGCGGCCGCTTGAGGAAGAGCTGGAGCCGGAGCTGGAACCAGAGCCGGGGCCGGTGTTGGGGCGGGAGACGATGTTGTAGCCGCTTCGAGCAGAGTCGACCATGGAGACGGAGACGTCGAAGGAGGAAGCAAAGGCGGCCATTGTGATGATGAGTTTTGGATTGTTATTTTGAAAGTGTGTTGGATTTATCTTGGTGGGTGGTTGTAGATGTGGTTGAGGTGGTTTGAGTAGATGAGATATAGATGGTCTTGGAAAGAGTTGTGGTGAGAGTGAGAAGGTTGATGAGATATCCCAAGGATATATATATAAGAGTGTATGAGAGAAGAGATGTAGTTGTTTAGTGTGTCTGTTCTGTTTGAGTGTTTGACTGCTGTCTGTCTGAGGAATAGTGGCATCTGGTCTCGGGATGAAGCAGCCACCTTATATATGCAAAGCCGCAACATCGAAACACCAAACAAGTTGCCCAAAACGAAACGACGTCTTCTGGTTCCCTGCATCGAGACCAGTTCCCAGGATTCCTTGGTAACCGGGTCCCTCCCACACGCCCCCCTGACCTTTTTTTCGAACGAAAGGTGAGATGACGGCTGCCCTGCCCTGTCGTTTATTTCTCTCGCTCACTATTAGTATTACACTTGCGCACTTGGAGAGGTACAGCCCAGTTCCCCGGCGCGTGCTCACAACCAGAACTTTACACTACACACCCCCCCTAGCCAAAACGGAATCCCGTCCCAGTCTAACTCTCTCTCTCTCTCTCTCTCTCTCTCTCTCTCTTTCTCTCTTCCCTCTCATCCCATAGGGGAGTTGTGGGTGGCAGGGTGGCTGACGGCCCTTTTTTTGGGGGCGTGGACTTTGCCCGCTTTGATCAAGCCGTAGGGCTGAGGTTGCGCGTGAGTCAGCCCAATCGTAGAGGCTACCGATGTGCAACTAAGCACCGCATTTTCCTGCACTGCACTGCACTGCACTGCAATCCTGACTGCATGCGGTTCGGTTGTATGTATAGTGTCTACATCGTGTATGATGTATAGTGTGTACGACTCGTTCGGATCACCGCCCACCGTCTTCTTTTGTGCGGGATGCAGCCTTCTCGGGCCTCGTGGCAATTCCTATGGGAGGGTTCCTGTCGGCGTCTCCATCCAATCTCATCGACGGACCGGGAGCCGGCTGCAGTAGAAGCACAAAAGAAATATGGAGGCGTGCATGCAGATTTCTGGATCCAGGGCAAGAGGATTCATGTTGAATCATTTCACAGTTCCCCTAGGCATACATCATCGTATGGATTGCCCATTGGAAAGGCCCCGTGTATCGTATGGGAAGAAGCATCTCGAGCGATAGCCGGTACGAATCGCCCAATCGAGAGGCCGTCATTCCCTCTAATACAACATCCAACTGTATTTTGTCCTGTCATGGCTCAAACCCACCACCATCCTCTCCCACCCCCCGGTCCACCCCCCATTTTCTGGGCTCTCGTTTGATACAGTACTGTGTCTTTTTTCTCTCTTCTTTGCCTTTTTTGTCACAGCGAGGAAGGGGAGGCAAATGGCCTCGAGTGGGTGGAGAAAACTACCTGTGGCCTAAAACTTGTGCCAGGTTGCGCACTGATGCTCTAGACGTTCCGTCGGTAAAGGATCCCAGGCCATCATCTCATCTCAAAAGACCAGACCACAGGCAGATTACAGGTGGTACTAGCCAGGCTGATGCCGACCAAAAGGTCATGTCCTCTGCCCATGTAAGTGCACAGATTGGGGAGTTGCTTTCTATCGCAGCCCCCACGTGGCGCGTACCTTTTTCGCCTTGAAAGGATGCCGTATTCGTCCAACTGGGCAGTGCCAGGGGTGGGAGGTCCCTTGCTGATGGAGCCAGCCACTACGACGCAACCCTTGAGGTTTTGGTGGTGGTGGTGGCAGTAGTTGGCGAAGGAGAGACAAGGCCATGTCATCTCATCGTCGCTCTTGGGGCCTCGATGAGGGCATCAATGCCCAGTAGAGTTACATGATGCGCCCTTCTCCACGCATGCCATGCGAGCGAGCAATGTCACGTACTGGTCCCAGCAGATGCAAATAATGTACCAGCGGCAGGGCTAGCCTCATGTAGATGCTTCCTACCTAACTGGGGACTTGATATTTTACGCAAGGCAGAAAAAGACATGGCGATGATGGATGGGGATATCAGATTGAGGTTGAGGTTACAAGCGGTGCCATACACTGATACGTGCAATCAAGTGAAGCGTCAAGTACTTGTACATACATACCCGTACTCGCAGGTACATATCTTCGGCAAATATGACACGACACGGCACAGCATGGCATGGCATGGCATCATGTCAAAATAGCCATGGCATGGACAGCATGGACCCCCCAGCAGAGCCAGAGTCCAGAGCCGCAGCCAGAGCTAATAGACACCTAAGACAAGACGATTTGATTCATCCAAGCGAATCCCTTGATCCTCTCGCCTCGTCTCTTTCAAACCTCTCTGCGGTCGCTTTCGTTCCCGGCTTTCTGATACGGGGCCAGTCGCGGCAGACTATCGCTTGTCGACTCCAAAATAAGACGAGACGAAGCTTCTAAGCCCCCTCTCCGCCTAGGGTGCCGCCGCTGATCTATGATTCATTGCCGAGGACCTGGGAAGGGAAAAGATGCCTCGCTTGCGGCCAAAAAAAGGAACAAATCCAAACGGCACTAATACGGACTGCCGCCAGCGCTTGGCGCTGTTGCATCCAATTGATCCATTTGATCCATGTGGACGGAATAGAGAGTTGCGTACGGAGTACAGGTACCGGAATTACATGTTAGTGGACGGTGCAGTACATTTGATGTACATGTAATGGATGGATGCTTGGCGACGAGTTGACAGGGCGCTGCTATTGACTGCTATGTGACAAGTACCCGTCAAGTCGTCCAATCTCATTTGCTTGATTCAACACAACAAAGACAAAAACCGCATTGGAAATAAAAAAGAGCTCATGGGTTCCCACCTCCGTAAGCGCCGCGAAGCTCACCAAACAGCCCTCGGCCTCTCTCTTAGGGTAAGGTTTTTCTGGGGGGATAAAAATAGCGGCCCAATGGCAAGCGAGCCGCGCGGAGGGGGGCGGTACTTGATTTGCTGGCCTCGCTTCGGCAAGCTTGTGCTTACTGTGTCGTTAGTATGGAGGAGACCATCCATTGTAATTAGAAGTTTCCAGTGAAAGTGACGGGAGTTTGAAAGAGCATCTGCCCTCGTCTACAGGTACTCGCTTGGGGGGACGATTGATGATGATTCGCTTCACCAGCCTCACAAGGCGTCAGCACTTGACAGCCGGAAAAGGGGCCACGCGCACCGCCCATCACACGGGGTTTCTTCGTTCGTTTTCGCCCGGATTCACTGTTGCTGCCGCTGCCGCTGTTGTCGTTGCCATCACGGATGCTGTGGGCGCCGCCGCCGCATATCTCGCCCGCGGCGGTTTTTGTTTGCACAATCGAGATGCCGCGCCTGGACGGGCGCAGCGTAATCGGGCTTGGCCCTGCGAAAGCCGGGCTGCACAGTAAGCACGAGGAAATTGCACTTGATCCATCTGCCTTGTTTGGAGCCTCTTCCAGGTTCCGTGATAACTGACAGGCACAAGGCACAGGCAGAGCAGAGCATAGCATCAATAACAGAGCATAGCAGAGTACATAATAGCGTCCCCCACGATGGGCAGGGCAGAACAGGATGTATCGCCTGACACAGTTCGCTTAGGCGAGGTACCTTGTCTGTTTAGGTTGTTTTAGCACTCGTGCTTGTCTGGTGTTCCTGGAACCTTCATATCAATCCATCCATGCTTCCAGGTTCAAGCTTTTAGCACCCGTCATCATCTTCTTCGCAGGTATTACCGGACGGCGAAATTCGAATCTTGCAAATTACCTTATCTATGGTATGGAGCTCCTTGTTGATCGTTGAACTCGAATTTGAGTTCTCCAAGAAGACCGCATCGCAACTTTGACTCGATACGGAGCCCGGCAACCTACCAAGTATCAAGCGCGAGGCAGCTCGGCCTTGGCCTACAGCCGGCGACCTCGCCTGTCAGATCCCAAATGCACGCTCGCTGCGGATGAGCATGACTGCCGGATGACTGACTGATTCATGAACCTCTTGCCTAGGCAGGAACATATTCTTCACATTATTTGATTTTGTCTCGACGAATCACCGGAAAAGCAGGTGCCTGGAGGGAACTCGAGCGATGCAACATTACACTCATTCCAGCCTCATGTGCACAGTATACTCCCATCCTTCCAAGTGGCAATGACGTCTACGTCGCAACAAAAAAAAAAAATACTCATACAGGCACGCCTCCGTCACAAGCATCTCCGGATCGCCTATTCATTTTCAGACGGTTTGTTAGCCTTTCACAGGCCGTCCAGTCATTTTTTGCGGGTGCCTGGCCGCCAAAGGAGCCGGCGTCCTATGGCGTCGTCCCGTCCTGACGGAGTCCGTGACGAAGGATCAACCCGTACTTTTGTAGTCCCGCAAGCGTTCAACGAAACCAAACATGCGACTTAGAGTCGGCTTGTCGTCGTATCGCGTATTGCGCATTGCGCCCCCCGCCAAGGGCAGTAGGAGTTTACGAGTTTCGGATCGCAACAGATCCGGGCGAATGCCCTCTCTCGTGTTCGGAGCTGTGTTGTGCTCCATGGTCCTTTCAAAATGAGGAATGTACTTCGTGTGCGTGCAGTCATCGTGCATACATCATGTAGGCACGTGTATGATATGCCATTGATGTTTCTGTCCTCGCCAATGCATCGAGAAAGCGAGTGTAACGCCATGGACAGCCTTACCGTCCCCTTACCGCCATTCCGCCAGATCTGGGTTCGCAGAAAGGACTAGTCCGCATACATGCATGCCCATGGCTTGAAGCGAAATTCAGGCTGGTGTCAGAGTCAGCTTCTAGAAGATCAGATGGAAAGGCCATTCATGCAGCCTTGCATGTTACTTTGCCGGGCACAGCCCTATGGGATTTGGGTGCGGCAGCACAGACAAAAGAGGTTCGCCGGGAGCAGTGCCCGTTAGACGGCGATGACGATGGCCTCGTCACCAACTTGTGCGTATGCGTGTGTGTGCTACTCGACTTACACAATGTGTGTATGTAGTTGACCTAGGTACCCGTATAAACCGAACTTGGTGTAGGATGGAGTGGGATTTGGTAGTGCGCTGTTTCATCCTTGTCGTCGTCTGTGTCCCAGCGTCAACTCACGCCAAAACGGCTGGCTACCCTGCACACGTAATTCACAGACAAGACAAATAAGGAATTGGATTCGAAATCATCATCATCATGGTAGATACACCTTTGATAAACGACCCCCAAGACCCCCTTAGGGCGGCGCAGCAACCCGGTGCCCGCTTCCTTGCCTCAGGCCTTGGTCACGCCCGGCAAGGGGCACAGCCGGGCTGTACAGTAAGAGCGTGCAGTTCCTGCTGGTGTATGCGGTACTGTATTACTCCGTCTGGGCAATGACAAAGCACAGCACGAAGCAGACAGCACAGCTGGGGGGTGATGGATGGATTGCCGCCCGAGTCATTGCGGCTGATAACTCGTACGAGTAGCGGCGTTGATGTCAACGTTCTCGGAATACAGTTCAAGGCTCCAGACCCGGCTGGCCATCGTCAACATGAACCCAATACGACTTTGATTTCAATTGCAGGGCGCGGCACGGCATCCGGCTGTGTTCCTGTTCCTGTTCCTTGCCTTGTCTTGCCTTGTCTTGCCTTGCCTGTCCTGGGCATAGTTATGACATGTATCTTCCTCACCCGCGCTTATTATTATACATTGATCATACTGTACAGCAACTCGTACTGTACAGCTACTGCACATTTACATCAAATTCAATTACATGCCGCCTCCTGCGGGCGATCCCACGGCCCGGGGCAACGCAGCCGGGCTTCCGCGACTTTCGAGTTGTGTGCACGGGCCGATCCGCCAGAACCATTCAGCCGGATACTCTCGTGCAGTGCAGAGTCGCAGCAGCTGCGAAGGACAGGCTATTGCCATTGATCTCTTAGAGCCTTAACCCTATTTGCTGTCAACGTTGTATTAATCATCATCACGGATTTGCTGTGGCATTGCGCTCTTTTTTTCTTCTTCAAACTCTTTCCTTTTCTTTTAATCCCCTCATGGCTCATTTACTCGCCGCTCGGCAACTTCCCTTTTCGACGCCTTTGCTTGTGTCCCATGATCATGATGTTCTCACGTCTTTGAACGCCAGGAAATTTGATACGCTCGAATGCTACTCACACCAGCACCCTGACATACACCTCTTTGCTGCTTGCAGCATCAGATTACGGCGCATATAATATCAACGTGCTCGCAGTTGCCAGCACGAAGTAGCGTCCTTTTGGCCCTTGGCTGTGATGAGCCATGCAGGTGGGCTATGGGTCTTTTTATCCAAACGAGCACAGGCATCATCCTGACCTGACCACGCCCCAGGCCCAGGATTGGCAGTTTCTCCCCCCTGGCCATATCGTCCATGGCCCATGGGCTGTGTATGTACGTACAGTGTCGTGATGGTGCTAGTGCTCGCATGGGGAAATGCTACTTACTGGGTATGCGAGTGTTATAAGCCTGCAAGCAACCCCCCTGGCTGACTTACAACTAACCCTGACCATGACAGATCCCGGATTCAGCAAAGCGTCGAGGCCGACAACCACACGGCAGCGTTGTAGCGCAGTTGATCCCCACGTGGAAGAGAGAGGCTCATGTTGCAGCTTGCAACCCGCTTTGGAACCGCTGTCTTTAGGACTGTCATCCTGGGAAGGTGAGCGAATACTTGGTATTATAGGCTCTCACCTGGGGACCCGGAGACTATCTTACCCAAACCTCCGGCCAAGGCCACGGACAGTTCCGCTACGATTACCGTGCTTGCTTGTATACTGTCCCTGTGCTCGTACCGCTTCCTGCAAGGATCTTCACCAAAAGGGAGGGCACGGAAACAGCAGTCTACGGAACTTTCGGGCTACTTCCAGGCTTTCCTGCCCATCAAATCTGCTGATGGCCCTGTAATATTGGAAAATCAGCACATGGGGGCTGCTCAAGAAGGGGGGTGGGAGGGAGCAGAGGGTGGTCTGGACCTCACTCTCGTCTTGAATTGTTCCGACTCGCCCGCGCAATTGTGATCTCGCCCATCGCGTAAGCGCGAGATCTCTCTCGCAGTACCGGCGTTCAAGATGAGCCCGATATTGCGCTGGATTGCTAAGGATCGACGCGAGGTTGGAAAGGGGATGATTCTGCCCACTTGGATCATTTCCCGGCGGCATGCGGTAGGAAGGAAGGCGTCGGCAAACGAAAGGGGAGATGGGAATTCGCCCAGTACGGAGTTCGTGTCGATCCAGTCGAGTGTGAGATTCCTTCCCACACATCATCACATCGAACAGCCTATTTCTCCATCTTGCATGGCATGTATACACCACCACCAGCTTCAACCTACTCCACAATGCGCGACTTGAGCGGACCGAAGGCGTTATCTCTTCCCATGATTAGGAGGACAAAGGAAGGTCAGTTCAACAGATGCTACGATACTCCCATTGTCATGGGTACGGGTGCAGTGTCGCAATCAAAAGCACCGTCAATCTGGCTGCTAGAGCCGGACCGTTCTCTCCAGGAGCCCCATGACTCGTGCCATGCCGTACACTTTTTGTTTGGGGAGCCGTATACATTGGTGAGACGACGATGGCTGCGGAATCTGCCGTGCCAAAGGACACTCTGGCCATCTCTGCCCCAGCATGGCCGGCATCTTGGACATGGTCACGGGCCAGTCCATTTTTTCCTGGTTATCAAGGTACGCCGAACAATGCTACTACAGCTATGACTCCGTGATCGGTATCTCCTCCCATATCTCCTCCCAATGACACGGAGTCGGCTCTTCGGCTGTCATTGCCCTTTCTTTTTGTTGTCTGTGCTTTCTTCAAAACTTACCGAATGCTAGGACCACGAGGCCCGTGTGTCTCCCCTCCTTCTCCTCCACCCCCCTAGCACGGAATATTGCTAGAGGTCTGGGGCATCGGGGGGTTGTAAGACGCGTCTTTTTTTTGTGTCTCTCTAGTTGTTGGCTTACAGGTACAATTGCCGAAAAGGTCAATACTCACAAAAAAACAAGCCATAGAGCACTCAATCCACCTTGAGACGATTAAGGGATATAGTATAGGGGACCCATGTGATGCTCCTCGTGGAATCGTTTCAAAAGCCTCTTGGCATATGCCATGTCCTCGACAATCTGGCAAGAGTCTCACGCATAAGTGGTGCCGCCGCGCTCCCTACGTGGGATGATATCCTGCTAATTGCAATCACATTTCGGGGGGGCGTTTACCGGCAAAGCATCCCAGCTGTGGAGAGCCACTAGTATCTGACTTTATTTCTTTGCTGCTCTGGGATAAGTGCCGCAACGAACAGGGGGGAGGGCTCTCTCTTTCGAAATTGGAATGATTCAATCGCCTTTTGCTTCAAAATGTGTCGTGCCCTTGCAGGCGTGAGAAAATGGGGCCATTTTAATCCCGGAAGGTGATCATTACTGACCCTTTTTGAGGAAAAAAGGAAACGGGGGGCCCCCTTCGACAAACGACACGCCGTCGCATATTTGGAGGGGGGGTTTGATCAAGAAAAGACGTGAGCGTCCCTGAAATTACATACATGGCGGTGGGCGCTTGTATGAGCCGTATGAGATTTCCGCGAGAAGCTAAAAGAGCGATGCTTGCGCTGCTGTGCCGTGTTTTGCTGCTCGGATGGGGAATAGACTGAGATGACATCTCGTATTCTACAGTATAATGATCGACGCCTTGCGTATTTGGGCTAGATGCGCATTTGCTTTACTTACAGAACAGAGTCGGATTGCATGTAAAAAGGCGATCCTAGTCGGAGCTAGCTTCGCCCAACTAACATGGGCTGCAAGGGTCCGATTCCAACTACAGTACAGCGACAGGCGGAAGCGTTCCGCAAAGGCACTTCTGTCGTTGAAGGATCGATCGAAATAGGAATGAACGAGGGGATCAAAAAGGACACGATGATTGCTTTCGTTGGCGTTGCTCTCAGGTTTTTTGATGGAGGAGGGGGAGATGGGCTTCGAGAAGTGGGCCAAGCTCTCCGGAGCGGGCTGTAAGGCTACGGCAATTGGGTTAGGAGGATCGATCATCCTAAGCGGCCGTCGGATAGAGATGAAAGGAGTTTGATTACAATGCAGGCGAAGCTAATTCGCCGTCAATCGCTTGCCGATGGATAGGAATCAACTAACTAGCAGCACAAAGACACGAGTTGCCACTATTCGTCTGGAGGCTTATTCTGCTCGTGAGATGATGATACTCGACTAACTCTGGCAAGACGCCAATCAACGGAGTGGCAAACACAGAGTTTCATAGCCTTGCGTCTTGCATCCCAGCCTCCTCTAGTGATGCGAATGGATCAACACGTCGTGGCATGCAGTTATGCTGTAAGAGTTGGGCAGCAATACATTGGGTTTGGTCCAAGGCAGCAGTCTCCAATGAGTCTGGTGGTTAAACTTTGTACGACAGTTCAATATTACTCCTTTTCATACTCTTCTTGCAAGTGAAAATGCTCTACAGACTCGGTATCGAATTCTCCTCGGACACCATCATGGAGTATCCGCGCATCATAGCCCCTGGCGCCGTCCATCGAAGCCGCACCGAGAATCAGCAGCCCGATGTGAACAAAGGTCTCGACAAGGCCAGTTTCGATCTGAAAAACAGCATCGTTAGGCTGCAATGTGACTTTGGCGGTGTGTCTTTGGCATCTCTCTTTCTGTGACTGACCGTATGGCTGACTGTTTTTGATAATGCAGAAGGACCGACATATGGCACGGGGTTCTTTGTCAACTTTCCTTGCAGCACGTACGATGTCATCTTGACTGCCGCCCATAACCTTATCAATAATCAGAAAGTTACGGTCCAGGACTTGAAGGTCTTCTGTGCAAAGTCCGAGAAGAACGCGAAGAATAACGGAGAAGGGCCTGGAAAAGATGAAACAGAGCCCGAGCCAGTTGCTGGGTTCAAAATCTGTCCCCAGTATATCGAAATTCTCGAGACTCAGTCCAAAGACTCAGATAAAGGACCCAAAGCCCCGGATAAGGGCTCCTATGACTATGGCATCATCTTGCTGGTGAAGGACAAGACCAAAGAAAGCAATAGGCAGGGCTTGGGGTTGAATCTTGGGCTCAGCTCCTCTTTCAACTTACAAGGATCAAAGGTTGCCAACGTATGTGGCTATGGGGGAAATGATCCAAGCTCCCCGCTGCAACACAGCTCCGGTTCAATCAAGTCAAGTGGGAAACAATGTGTGGAATACAAAGCACCGACAGAGCAAGGAATGAGCGGAGCACCGGTCTGGATTCCTTACGGTGGACATCCAATGGTAGTGGGTATACAGTAAGTTGTGATAAACCTCCGAATGAATTCTACATCATCTTCTCGTATGAGCTGACCTATGTTTTACTCTCTAGCAATATGAGACCAAAAATAAAGACTGGCGGAAGCAGAGGCACAAAGATCACCGAAGAAGTCTTTCGCACCATATGCGCATGGTTAGGCATAGGTTTCTTCGGTAAGCGTCTTTGCGCCATTGGAAAGAAAAACAAGCCGCACAACACATATCTTTCTTTTTTCCAGCACAGCGATTTCGCAAAGGTGTTTCTAGGATCGTCGGAAGAGGCCACAAATCAGGATAATGTGACGTTTGACATTATGCCGACGACAATCTTCCCAAGATGGACAGGGAGACAGGTGCTCTACGCGTTCAAATTTCATAGACCACCAGCTTGGAGTGATGAGAAAAAGTGCTGGGTTGAGTGGCAGCCAAAACAGCAACGAGCTATACTGGTGGACACATTGAAGGACGTTAACCTTGTCAGACTGGACGAAAAGATGCTCAAAACTGGTAAAAAGCGACTTCTCGTGCTTATACCTGCACCGGGAGATGTAAGCAAAATGCAGGAGCTGAGGTTGTATGACGATGATCGAGATGAGGATGACATTGAGGACGGAATGACTGAGTTTGCGGGCGTATCGTTTGGACAATGGGGGGATAGGGCGGACATGGTTGGAGTAAGTATCATTCCCGAACGGATAGATATGAAGCTAACGATGTTGACAGAGTCGACTGTTTGTGATTGAGTAGGCTTGGGAGCCTTATGAGCAAACTGATTTATGATTTTTCTGACATAGAATGTAACGACCCTCGCTGAGTTTATTTACTAGATCTACCTCTATATATTAAATCTATCTCTATATTCTAATCAACCTCTGTCTACTAGATCTATCTCTGTCTACTAGAGGTATATCTATCTACTAGTGGTATATCTATCTACTACACTATAGCATTTTTGCTCTATTATAACTCTTCTATAATAATTCACCTATAGAATGAATGATACTTTCTATAGTAATACAGACTTACCCTTCTATATTTTCTCTCAAGTTGCTTTCAATCAAGCCGATACAAAAAGCTTAGTTTTTCTTATAAGACGTACAGAAATACCCCTATATTCGCAACAACGCCCGAACAAAAAACAACCTCTATGCCTCCCCTATTAATCTCTCGGCTCTCCAAGTAGCCTTGGCAAGACGTTGCAACTCATTATTGTTTATGACCACATCCATTTCGCCTGAGTCTCTCCTAGGCGGGCGAAGAAACAGGTTCCGAAAATTCAGCCATAGTGGGCCGCGAAACACCTCATAGGATGCTACTGGGATAGTGCCAGATGCATCAATGACTCTTTTGATAGCAATCTTTTGGACACGAAGAGGGCCTGCTCTCCACTGCTCGATGGTGATGTCTCCAGTGGATGTATTCACCTCGAATAGAAGGACGACCTTTACATCATGTCTTGAGGCTCTAAACCACCAACTGGCCTTTTTTCTGAGGAGCGGCATCGAATTGGAAGGACCAAAATCGACAACAATCGTCGGCCAATCATGTAATATTGAGGGTCGAAGAAAAGATGGCCGACCAGCTAAATTAGCCTCTCCAGAAGAAAGGAGGTCTCCATCGAATCTCTCAAGGTAAGTTATGCTGCCCTCGTGGAGCCACTCCCCACTCAACCCCATTGCGTTTATTTTTCGAGCAAGGACGCATTCAAGATGTCGACTGGCAGCACCATGACATGGATTTGGCATCGTTATGATGAGATTCTGGATTTCGCCGAGGTACAGGAAAAATCGGTACCTGCGACGCCTCTCTGCCCTTTCTGCACAGATATTTTCATATGTTTGACGACTGACGTGGTCGACAACGAGACATTGGCTGGTTGTAGTCTCTAACTCGTCGAAAAGGTTGTCAAGAGTAGAAAATGTAGTCGGCGGTTGCTTGTCGTTGACAGATGATATGGAGTTATCCGTGGCTGACATCTTTCCAAGTCTGCGAGATAATAACGGTAAAAAGGAGTTTAGCGCGCTCAAATCTGCGATGGTTGAAATCGACTGTAAGACGAAGATTTTGGTTAAGAATGGTAATGAAAGAGAAGACAAGGAAGGGAAGTTGGGGGGATGATATAGGCGACAACAAAATCAGCCTATCGCGTCTCAAACCTTGAATATAGCCACCCCGAGGACACTTTCAGATAACAAAAAATTCTCAATGAATAAAATCACACAATTGAAAAGGGGAGTTGATAAACTTTAGAAATTAAGCTACGATGGCTCCTGGGCTACACAAAGCTCTTGACCAAAGTTTGTGTGTCAATACTACCAATGCATTATCATTAACCTAAAGAAAGTCAAGTTGATCAACTAAGAAACAAGCTGTAAAGGAAATTTCAGCGTAGGCAGTCCAGCGATAGAAAAAAAAAAGGCGACTAATACAAGAAGAAGAAAAAGAAGAGAAAGAAAGCTTTTCAACAAAAGGAAAGTATGACCAAAGAATGTCTCAAAGAAAGAATCCTCCCAACTCCCACCATAGCGCCTGAACTTTTGCCAACGAGTCCCACCTCGTTTGATTCCATTTACTCCCATAACTCCGCAGCACCTATTAAGCACATAAATCTACCTATACATTTAGTCGCTGCAGCTTCCCAAGCTGGCAATCGGTCCCATGAGTGTTTGCAGAAGCTGTGTGGTTCATTAGCACAACCATGGCGTATTTAAGCATCTGTTGCAACCCAACTTACCCATCGCTCGAGATCCTCTTCATTCTCGTTGAATTCTCTGCATCCCTCATCAAGGCGCTCTTTAGGTTTGAACTTGTATTAGCCTTTGTGTGCTCGTTATTGGGCAGCTATGTTGTGGAACACGAAGTACTTACGGGTGGTGCAGTAGAGCCACTCAGTCAGTTCGTCATCCTCTTTCAGCTGTTGCAGAAAATCTGCTGCAGAGGAATCATTGCCAATCTGACTAATTTGGAATCGAACAGCTATCAAAACAGTCAGTATTTGATGCACCGTGTCCATTAAATCATGGCATACTTTGAGTAGGGTAATCGTGCTCGGTAAGGAATTCAATGCAGCTGACAATTGCCTCCTTGAACTTGGTTCTGGTCTCACCACTGGCACAGCCATCCGTGATGCAGGAAATGAGAATAGGCCTCTCTATCTTTCCACCCGCCTTGATGACATCGTAAATCAGGGGCTTGAGAATCTTCTGTTCGAGTTGGGTGCCAATCCTGGTCTTGCCACCGAGCTTAGTTGTCTTCATAATCTCTTCGACTTGCTCGGCCTTCAGCTTTGGGTTCATATCGCGTTTGTCGTTGATGAAGAGCAAGCCTGCTCCGAAGCCGTCGGGTACCAACAATGTAGAGATTCGGGCGACTCGTCGAACAAGATCAATCTGGTCAGACTGGCGTGTGCCTTGTTTCATTGAACCGCTGTCGTCTGGTGGAGCAATGTGATCATTAGTACCTGCACATCTGATTGGTAACATGCTTATGGTTGAACTCACCGCAATAAAAGACTGGTTGGTAAAGAGCAAGCTTTGTAATGTCCTGGATATCCTTGTCTTCTTTGAGCAAGTTGTCTGTCTTTCCTTGAAGCTCTACTGCTTTGCTCGCAATAGTTTTCAGGAGTGGATTACCATCTTCAAAGAAATAATCGAGTCCGGTGTCATTAATAAACTGCATCATGCTGGCCTGGAATTCTTCTGCCGTGGTGTGCTGTGAAATCTCAGACACAAGCGGAACGGAAGCAGAAGCAGCATCATCTGTAACATCATCTGTAACTTTATCGAGAGCAACTGTTTTGACATCCTGGGGTTGGGGCTGGGGCTGGGGCTGAGACTGGGACTGGGACTGGGGATCTCCGAAGACGAAAGAATCAGTCATGTTTGAGTCGGTGAAGATCCTGTTTCTCAAATTCTCCGTCTTTTCGGGTGGGACATCCGCGGCGTTTGAGACGTTGGATCGCATGTTCTCAGGTACACACTAAGAGAAGACTCAAGTCAATATTCACGAAATGTAAATTGAGGATTCGTGTCACTTACACCAAAGGACTGATTCATGTTACCCTGGATGCCAAAAATCGTCTTGACCGCACCTTTGAGGGTATGGTTCATGAAACCAATGGACTTGAAGAAGTAGTTGATAATCTCAGTCACAATCTCATCCCTGTTCTTGGCAGGCAATGTATCTTGTTTGATGGCCTGGATCACCGCTGGGTCTTTGGTGGCCTCTGCGAACTCTTCAATGGTCACAGGGTTTGCTCCTTTCTTGACTCCTATGGTAGTAGATGCGCCCATGTCTGTCAGAAGCTTGATGGCACCGGGATCCCGATGCTCAATGAGCTTCATGAGGGCAGTCGTGCCATCTATTGCTTGGACATCGGGATCTGCACCTTTATGCAAGAGATACTCGATGACTTCGCGACGCCGCTGCTGGGTGACGGAAGAGTGGCTGAAAGACGCATACCATAGGGCAGTTCGATTCTTGTCGTTGATATGATTAACATTTGCATTTTCGCCCAACAGGACTTTAACGACGTCGATATGGCCCTTTAAAGAAGCATAAGCGAGTGCGGTCCGACCCTTGCGATCGATTTCGTCAATGTTAAAGTGGAGAGAGGCCGATTTGTAATGTTCAAGGGTATCTGTGGTAAGACTGCCCTGGGCAGCGGCATCGTGGAGAGTGATCATTGCTCTGCTCTCGAGAAAAGATTGATTGAAATTTTGAGTGAAATTTTGATTGGCTTTCGGAATGGTTTCCGGGGGAACGAATACTATAAATTGCAGGGGAGAAGATAGTGGAAGTGTTGGTTGCCCTGAACGTTTTTGTGACTGATCACAAGTTTATATAGGCGGCTAGCACCCGATGAGAGAAGATTTCGATGTAAAAGATCAGGCACAAGGCACCCCCAAAGAGCCTCATTTATTTACGGAGTAGATATACAAAGTGACTTGTGCACAGCCTCGTTACTTGAGGAGTTACCGACCGTCTTCCGATATGTCATTTTCCTTGCATACATATGCATGCGACGAGAACGGATGTCATCTCTAGAATCCACTCGGTGAGTGTTCTGCATTCAAGTTCAGCCGCACTGATAAGTGAGTGTGTTTACCGACCAACATACATAAACGTCCCTGCAATGCAACCTATAACTCAAGAAATCATAAGCCACATCATGTATTCGAATGCAATGTTGTGACACGTCGACACAGCCCCCGCCCGGCCGGTGAATGAAGCCGCCTATTAAGAAAGCATTTCCAGCGTCATTGACACACTTTCCAAGAAGTTCGCGACCCTCATTGGAAGCCTCGTCGCACGCCTTCGGATAAAAAACAGCAAATCGAACGCATCAGGCTCGCCCACGTCAAGCGTGTGGCTTCTTTCCATGCCGCTCTCGAGGATGTGAACCAATGCATCGGGAGTTGATTTGCCAGGGAATGCCAGCTCACGGATCATATGATGAAAAAATTCTTCTCTTACCCAGGCTTGAGGAACAACTTGATAGACGAGACGTCATCGAGACTGGACCCGCGCTGAGGCTCAAAATTTCAGCCCAAAGGGTGACATCTGGTGTGGCCCAATGGGGAAGAGATTGCGTTGCGTGCAGAAATTTTGGGTACACATGTTATAAAAGCAGTTAGCCTGTTGCACAGGGATATTTCTTATTAGAGTTGGGTTGGACGTCACTTCGTAACTTCATTCAATATCAGGGCACCGAAAACAAGCAGCATCGGCCTCACCGGAGCATTACAGCAATGGGCAGGCTTCAGGACGTGACCCGCTTCCTCTTGGCGGCCGGAGGCTCTGCCTCTACCGACGGCAAATCAACTCATCTATTCCATGAGGTCAAGAATTCCTTGTTTATGGAAACATGGACAGGTTCCGAATTAATCGACCGCGTGGAAGTAGTAACTGGCGTTAGGAGTGATACATCTGCACCTCTTGTGAACTTGCATTACAAGGTACCTATGGACTCGTAACCCTAACACACTTACACGAGAGAATTACTGACTATACGACAAAAACATAGAGAATCTTTGTTGTAGATCAAACACACACCCTCAAATGCTTCACAGAGACCTCGAAAGCTGAGGATGAAGGCGATGATGAAGATGAAGAGGAAGAAGAAGATAGCCGCTGGGAGGACGAGGAGCTAGACGACTTGGACATCCGAGTTCACGACAAAAGCCAACTTGCCGTCGCCTGTGGTGAATTTACAATCGTGGTTTTCTACCAAAACCCCGATGGTACTATCGGCGCCATCGAAGATGATGGCAGCTTACATGGGTGGAAGATTGCCCAACTCCCAAACGCTGAAGCTCTTCCTGGAACCCCCATGGCCAGCTTCCAAGCTAAAGACACCGTATACTTTGTCTATGTTGCTGCGGACCAAACCTTTCGTTATTTAGAGCATAGTAACAATGAGTGGAAAGGTATGTAATGCTATGTCTACAACCTCAAGGCTCAACGTCTCTGACTTTGCTATTAGACGCACCCTTTTCGAGTGCCAAGATAGACGGAGCTTCTGCCAAAATATCGCTTGCCGAAGACGAGAAAGCAGAGACTGATCCGAAGCTCTTAATCTTTTGCCTCGCTGATAAGAAGCTGTCTACGATCAAACCGGGAAGCACCGAAGCAGAAACCTGGGGCACAGTGGAAGACGGAGTGTATAAGCCAACGTCTGATCAGGAGAATAACGGATCGCCGCAGGGAAGCATCCCGAATCCCTTCCACCCCGGGCATCTCTTCATCTACTCTGGCCCTCCTCCTCCTCCACCACCTCTTGCTACTGTCCCTGTCCCTGTCCCTTTTTCTGTTGCCCCTTTTGCTTGTTATGAAGACTTCGGTCAATTGAGCTTGAGGGATCATGCTGTTGAATATCAACAGCCTCCTCCTTATGAATATTCTTATGGTCATTTCGATGGGCGTTATTATGACTCCCATGACGAAGCTCTTCTTCGGCAACCTGCCCAGCGACCTGAGCCGAGATTTGTTTCACAGTCAGCGCATGATCCTTCATGGCAGCCGCCTTACCAGCGCCCTTATCGCGCTCGTGATATGTACCATCATGATCCTTTCCAGCGGGATCCTTATTATCAAGATGGTTACCCTCCGGATCGTTACCCGCAGGACTATTACCAGCGAGATCCTTATCAACGAGATCCTTACGAGCGGGGTCCTTACCAGCGTGACCCTAACCAGCCTCCTCAGGAGTTCTCGCACTCATGGCAACAAGATCCGCCACAGGAGCTCCCACGTCAACAACATGTTCCTATTCAAGAGTCCTCGCGACAGCAACAACAGCAACAACAACAACAACCTCCACAGGAGCTCCCACGTCAACAACAATCTCCCCAGGAGACTCAGCGACAACAGGAGCCGGTTCATCGCCCACCTACAGTTGAGGATGCAGAAGAAGAAGATGATGATGACGACTCTTCTACCCGGCCTCAGGCTGGAACAGAGCCCCCACGCGCTCCTCAACCTAATCGTGAAGAGACTCAGCAACAACAACAGCGGCCACAACGGCAACAGCGGCAACAACAACAGCAACGTCGTGCCGTTTCACCCGCCTTCAAGTCGGAAGATGACGACATGGAGGAAGCCCTCCAGCGACGCCATCCCCAGACACAAGGCCGCAGCTCTCGTCAAGCCTTTTTGGACGAGCCTGTAGAACGACGACAGACTCCTCGCCGTCGAACCCCCGCAGACTCCATGTTTGATGAAGATGAAGACGCATTCCTCCAACAATTTCGGCGTTCTCGTCAAGAAGCATTTGAGCTTGATCGTCAAGACCGACTTCGGCGTGCTCTCCATGAAGAGCAGCGTGCTCGTCGCCTTCCTCCTCAACATCGTGGCTATGACTATGAGTCTCATCGTCCCTACTTGGCACATGGATATGAAGATCATCATTCACCCTATCGACATGGTCCTCGCACCCGGCCAGACCCTATAATCAAATTTCGCACCTATCACTACATTCATTCGATGCGATGTGAACGGTGCCATCGCCGCTACAAGAGAGTGAGCCGAGGACTGCCCTTTGGACGTAGCACTGAGTGGGTTAAGAAATGCCGTTGCTAAAGACTTGAAAGAAAACGTAGTGAATACACATCGGATTGATGCACAAGGTTGCAGGCATAGGATTCTTTCTTTTTCAAAACAAATCTCTAGTCTAGTCTAGTTCGTTGCTTTCAATTCTTTGCGAAAATACACTCGTTCATAACCATCCTCAGTCCTCCTCCCCGTCTCCGCATACCCAAGCTTAGCATACAGCCCAATGTTCTCATACATCTTGATATTCGTAAACAAAGCCATCCATCCAATCCCTTTCTGTCTCGCAACATCTTCCGCAAAATCCATAAGAACACGACCATAGCCTCTTCCCTGGGCCGCAGGCTCAACAACCAAATTGTTAACCATGACTGCGTCTGCTTCAACATCTATACGCAGAATAATAGAACCGACAATCTTGACGACCTTGTCATCGGAAGTAGATTCTAGGACATAAATATCGCGTGTGTTGAGCAACTCGTTGTAATCAGCCACCATAGGCGCGGGGGGTTTCCCTATGCGTTCGATATATTTGGAGTAGCTGGCATTGACTATGGCTTGTATGAAGGGCACATCTTCAGCTGTGGCTTTTCTGATGGTGAGGCCATTCTGTAGAGCTTTTTGAGAGAGCACAGCCATTGGTGGTGGGTTTAAAACACACAAGTTGTATTTTGGTGGGAAATGATTCAATGTTTCGGTTGAAGTCCATTGATTGGATCGACGTTATTCGCTGCACTACTCATACACGTCCTAAAACCGGTCCAAACCTGACTCATACTTTACAACGTCCTCCTTACATGTACTCTCAAGCGACAACAACATCACCAACATTTTTATTCGTGACCGATCATTCATTAGAGTCTTTCTTCTTGCTCGCTTTTACCACATACAACAAGACATGTCGTTGAATTGAGTCAGCACACAGGATCCAACGGTCCTGCGAACCGCTGTCAGAAGTACCAGCCAAAAGCATCCCGCGCGAACCACTGAGAGATGCGAACCCGCCGATAGCTTCGGCACACGACATTTCGCCAATCTCTCCCTGCCGAGTCATGGGATACGTGTAGATGTAGAGCTGCAGACGATATGCGTGCGCTTTACGGGGGTTGAAAATTGCGGCCTGAGCGTCACAGGTGCCACGTAGCCCAAGCAAGCATGCCAATGGCATCCGCCGGATCTGCTGCCTCGTTTTCGGCCCAACCAGCCCAACCAGGGTTGCATCCATGCATCTGAACCAATCTCTTCTACTGCAGTACTCTATCTTGGCAATGTCTGGGCTATCGTCTGAGCTATCGTCTAAGGCGTCAAACTCAAAAAAAAAAAATTGTCATCTTCACAGCTCATCCCTAATGGGCGCCGCCTCGTCCAACGGCGCCATGGCCATAATCTTCACCACCAAGCTCGTCCATCCAGTAAAGTGCTGCGTGCGCTGGCCAGCGCCTGTCTCAGGGTTGTACTGCTCCCAAGCGAAGCCTGTCTCCTCCCAGCTCTTGAATACAGTGTCGACCAGATTCGTGCGCAGCTCGTTGTATAAGCCTCGAGCCTTGCCTTGGAAGGGACCCTCTTGGGTAGCGATTTTCTGCGAATCGAGTTAGCTTTAAAATCTTGGGCTGCTGGTGCAAGTTGTCCATCGTGACAGCAAATTTGTGAGACTTACGTGGAGTTGTGTCAATGCCATGTAGTTGATGGGCATCCATACTGGGCTGCGCCAGTAGTTCTCTTCCGTTCCGTAGAGCGGATCTTGCTTGCTCAAGCTGCGTAGACCATGAGGACTGAACAGGTGACTCTCATCACCCACGAGGTCAAGAATCTTGCCCAACTTAGCATCGTCAGGCTTCATCAACCCGACCAAAAATGGGAACAGCGAGATGTATCCCTTGTGGCACACGAGAGCATGCTCTTCATATTCATCAATGGTGGCATCGCAGTAGCAGCCATCCTTCTCCGACCAGTGGAGGTCATCAAGGTTACGCTCAATGGCAAACAGATTCTTCTTGAGCTCGGCAATCTCATCCGCAATGCCCAACGCATCCGCAATATTGATGAGAGACTTGGTCATGAAGCCCACCCACGACATGAGATCCACATGGAGCTCACCCGGGTGCGGCGGCTGCGGTCGAGGGTAATCATCCAGACCGCTGGTAAGACAATGCGTCTCGGACCGGCCCTTCCACCTATAAGCCTCCTTGGAGGAAAAGGCCTCTCGGTCATATGCCTTAATGTTACCCTTCTGCGTCTTGCGGAACCAATCGTATTGCCGTCGAAGAAGTGGATAAATCTTGCGGAGGAAATCGCCACCCAGCTCCAGATTATCCAGATGAGCATTATACAAGGTCTGCCCTTGAGATAGCGTCTCCTTCTCGGCAGGCGCGCTACCGTTGGCACCACGAAGGCGCTCCATAAAGTCCTCAATGATCAAAAATAGGGTCGGTGGGTTGGCGTAGTGAGGGTATTGGACCTGGAATTCCGCTGGCACTTTGCTTCTGGCCTCTGGGCCAAGAATCTGCTCACGGGGGATCCATCCGTCGCTGTCCATGGTGTTATACCAGCTCTTGACAACCTCGAGCGTCAAGTCAATGTCCCAGTCAGCAATTGGTATGAGGTGGAATCCCTCGTCCCAGAAGAATCCGCGAGGGAAGAATGGTCGCGAAGGAACACTCGTAAACAGCTCATATGGGCCTTCCAGTTGCTGAGCCTTGCGTGCTCGGGCTTCGGCCGTATCGTCCCAGAAGCCCTCATTCTCTTCCTCGTACTCATCCGCATAAGACCGGTCAATCAGTTGATGTCCTTGGAAATATCCAATGCCTCCAATCAAGTTGGAAAACATGCTCTTGCCAAACTTTTGGTACTTGTCAGTGTTGTATGGCTTTTTCAAATCAAAGACGCTTGAGAATCGCTGTGCAAAAGCCTCCGAAGTCTCTTTAATCTCTCGCGTGACATCTTGGCTTGTCAATTCCTTGCCAGCCGAGGCCGATGAGAAGATGACGTCGAATTCGAATGATCCTTCAAATACTTTCTGAATGAGATGGACGTTACCGCCACCAGCCTGGGGCTTGAGTCGGTAGATTTGCCATGGGGGAGGCAAAGTTTCGTCAGTGTATTGTTGTTGAACCTCCTGGATGGATTCCTGCAGCTGCTGGAACACTGCAGGTTTTGCCTGCCAGATATGTTCTCCAGGGAGGACGAGGCTTCGTACCACGGTCCTATCTCCTCGTCGTGAAGCGGATATCTCATGGTCAGATTCCGGATGGTTGCCGGATCCCTCAGTAATCACAACAGTGTAATCGCCCAAGGCACCGGAGCTTCCTTTCAAAGTGACGTCGCCTTCGAATCCCAGTCCATCACCGTCCTCACCCTGGACCTCGAGATCTCCCAGGCCTTCTTGGGCGATGTAGTAATGCACCAGATACTTGGTGTCGTCAGGTGTATCATCACGGACAGTCCCTTTGATTCTCGCAGCCCAGCTGCCACCATGGTTGCCTCCGGGAACCTTGATGAAAGAAGTGGTGATGTCAATGCCGTTGCCTTCGTCGTGAATTGTCTGAACGCCACCAGTCCGTGCATCGTACTCATCCCAACCATATCCATGAATGTCCTGGCCCTGCTCACAAGTGTAGCGGAACACTGCCATTAGATTAGCATTAGATTCATAAAAACAATCGCCATCTCACTAAATCCTCTCACATACACTGCTGGATATCCATGTACGTCTCAGCTCTCCCCCACATCAAGCCCGTCCACAGGCCCTGGGGCATCCTCGGCCTCACTCCAAAATAGAGATTTGGCTTGTAAGGTCCCCATAGCAAGCTCTGGTTGTTCAGACGACCAATTTCGTTAATCAGGACGGTTTCGCTGCCCGTAGCTGAGGCACCAACCGCCAGCGCGGCCGCAGAGGCCAGCAGTTGGGCAAACTTGGCCATTTGTGCCCTTTTCCTTCGTCTTTTCTCTACAGAGCTCAGCTCTATGTAAAGATAATTACCAGGAGTCTTTCCTCATCCAATGGAGAGAAAAAGGCCAAGTCAAGACTGAATGTCGATCAGCAACAGTTTCCAGGGTGCAATGAACACGGTGGTGCTGCTAGAGGTCACTGCAAGGCTGAGGAGCTACTCATGGCAGGTGGCCAATCAAGCTACCGGGATACGCCACAGAGCCATACAAGCCACACTTTTAGTCTTTTTACCCCTGTCATTGTCTTCAGCCTTGACCCAAAAGTACAGCCCAAATTGATTCTAGAAACTTCAAGCTCCAACGTCATAGTCTGCTCGCTGTTGCGAATTATCCAACTGATCAGCTACCGCAATTTCAAAGCATATTATTCCATCATGAACGACTCACGTCGCTCCAGGCGGCCCGACAGCCGTCAGATGTGGGATGATTCAGACCGTCGCGACAGAAACCCTCCCCGAGACCGCGAGCGCGAGCGCGGCTGGGACAATCGAGACCGAGAGAGAGATCGTGGCCGAGGCAGAGGCTACCGGTCGCGGTCTCTGGAACGACGTGATAATCAGAGAGATCGCTCAATGTCACCGGATAAGCACCGACGAGATCGTGGGGGAGACAGAAATCGAGGTGGCCGAGACCGTCGCCCAGGACGAGATGGAGATAGACGGGATAGCCCACGTCGGCAGGACGATTGGGATGATCGCGATGACAAACGATGTAAGCACACGGACAATGAACATCTTCTTCAAGCTACTGGTATCCTCTTGCTAACATACATCGGCAAAAAGCAGCAAAACATCGCGATGACCGCCGCCGCTCACCATCCCCTTCCCTCTCCGCCCTGCCTACCCGCCCCCATCCAGAAAACACCTCCCGCAAATCCCAGCCCAACATCAAAGTCAAATCCGACAAGCGCAGCCCCTCACCCCCTCGTCGCGACCGCAGCAGCAGACGAGATGCATCTCCCTCGCCGGTGAGAATGGAGCAGGACGAGTACGACGACGACATCGAGGTCGAGGGCCAGGACGATGACGACGTGGCCGCCATGCAGGCCATGATGGGCTTCGGCGGCTTCGGGACCACAAAGGGGAAAAAGGTCGCGGGCAACAACGCCGGCGGCGTGCGCAAGGAGAAGAAGTCGGAGTATCGGCAGTACATGAATCGGCAGGGAGGATTCAACAGGCCTCTAAGCCCGTCGCGATAAAGAGGCGTCTTCTCCTATATGGGAAAAAAGAGGGCGCTTTTGGAGGATGGAATATATCGGATTATCAAAGGTTTATTTTTTTTTTTACCATTTTCTTATGTAACGATATCCATGATGGCATAGCACTTGGGGTCTTTTTTTTCTTTCTGGTTTTCAATCTTTATTGTTTACTTAACTACAGAATGTTGTATCAAAAAAAGAATAAATCGTATGATGTATATTAATTGAGTAGGCTCCCCTTGTCTACGTGACTGGAACGCTGTACATGCGACTACCGCTAATATGCTGCACTATAATGCATACAATTATTTCCTCAACTTCAAGAAACCCAGAACTTATCCACATCCGCAAAAGGGAATAATAACACAGAAGAACTAAGGCCACACCAACAACCACATCCTCGAACGGACAGCCAAAACGCAGAGTGACAACAGTAGCACAACGTCTATGTATCCAAATTCGCCAGCTCTCTTCCAAATCGAAAAGGAAATGAGCCAAAAAGGACGGACAAAAAACGAACGAAGGAGACGTCTTCTCTTCTCGCCTCTTGTGGCTGTTGCAGTTGTAAACATTAAATGTGTATGTACTTGCTGGCAGGTATATATGTGTATATATATATATATATATATATATATATGCTGATCCATGGTTCTTGTTTCATAGTGAATTTTTTTCTTTCTTTCTTGGTTCTCTAGAAAATACACGGTGATGATGTTGTGTGTGACAATTACTCCTGTATCTTCTCGGATTCCTCCGGCCTACCGTCTTGGCCAGCGTTTTCTTCCTCCTTCGAATCTGCCTTTACTTCCGGTGTCGTCGGCGTTGTAGCCTCCTCCTCTTGCTTCGGCACGTCAAGTGTTGGCGTGGGTGGGATATCCTCTGATACCGATAAAATAGAAGACTCATCCTTAGCTCCGTCTACTGTGCTGGAGGCCCTCTCCCTCCGTCTTCTTCTTGCCCTCCGTTCCTCCTCTGCCGTCTGCCTCCTCGCCTTTCTCATCGTCTCTCTCCTCTCGACATCCGCCTCGTCGTTTCCATCGCCTCCGCGCACATCTTGCAGTAGTGCCGCTGCTCGGTCAGCCAGATCATCCTCCTTATTGCCATCTCGCGAGGGAGGAGGCAGTGAAACGGGTGTTTGCGAATCTCCGTCTTCGTCAATTGTTGGCTCAGACTTGGAGAAGTTGGTCTCGATGTCTGGTATCTCGTCGAGATCGTTTATTTGCTGCCCAGAGGCCACACGGACCTGGTGGCGATCCTTCAAGCGGGCACGACGGCGACGGTCTCTCTGGTCCCGTGCCTGCGGCGCTGCTGCTCGAAGTCTCTCGAGCAGTGAGTCCATGGCGCCAGTGCTCGATGGCGATGCGGGTCCATTGTCTGCCAAGAGACTGGCCGCTTTCGTCTGCGCATGCTTGCGCTTCATGGAGGCTTCGTTGCGCTTCCTTGTCTCCTCCAACAAAACGTTCTTCTCGCGCGACTTCTTCCATTCCTGCAAAAAGCCGGCTAGCTTGGTGAAGAAGTCCCTCCGGGAATTCTCGTCTGCGGGATCTTCTCCGTAGAACAACATAATGTCCTTGTAAGTCTTCATCATCTCCTCCAAGTAGACTTGCATCTGCTCCGCCTTCCTTCTGGCCTCCTTCATAACTCTCTGAACGACTTGACCGACGCGATCCTGGGGGTGGAACTTCTTGGGGTCGCTCAAGTTACCATTGTCCAGGGACATTTGCACATTCTTCACGTTGGCAATGTAGTTCTTGGCATCGGCTTGAAGCTGTTCAATGTTAATCTTTTGTGCCGTGATGACACCAGTAATGTCGTCGGCGAAGCTCTCCCACTCAGGATACTGGTTTCGAACAATACGCTCCACAAGATCGGCCAGCGTCGATTCGTTCTTGTCATCCTTGACCATGCCCAGTCTAGCGAGCGAGCTAAGCTTGAAACCGCGCGCTTGCTTGTTGGCATCGTTCATGTAGTTTCCAATGTCCAAGATGAGACCAAGGACATTCATAAGTGCGACCGAATCTCTCAATGACTCGGAGACAGCGACAACGTCCTGCATCTTCGCACTGATCTCGTCATAATCTGATTCGAAACTCTGCGTTAGAGCAAGCGCCCTCATTCTGCTCTTCCAGTAATGATGAAGTTCAAATGCCGTATACAGATACATCTGATCCTGTCGCGTGAGCTCTTCGGGATCCTGTTCACGCGTTTGGTTCTTGGCGTCTGGCCCTGTCAAGTCAGTACTATAGGGTGCCATTTGCTTGGCGACGTTGTCGTTAATGTTGCACATGTCGTCCTTTGACAAGAAGTCCATGATTCCCTGATTTGTGATGATGATGTCGTCGCAATGGATAATCATCTGCACAATCTTTTCAACCGAGTACTGAGAGAACTTGGCAAAAGCGATTTCTAGAAATTCACATGTTAGCTCAACATTACCAAAGGTGCAACGGGAGTCTCCAAACAATCAACATACCAAATGCTTTCCGAAGGTCGGACGATATAAGCTGTTTCTTATCATCTTTCTTGCCGCCAGATCCACCAATCTTCTTGATTTCTTTGGCCACGAAAAGCTTCTCGACTTCATCCAAAATTCCTCTGCGACTAAGCTCATTGTACTTCTGTTCTCGTTCCTCGGCAGAGGGAGCGTGAGCAGCCCAGTGACTGGTCTCAGGGGTATCAACCTTCTCCCAGTGAAGAGCCTTGAGTTTCTTCTTAGGCCGCATCACTGGCAAGCCAACAGAAGGCGAGGCGGAGAAGGCGGGTGTCTGAGGCAAGTAGTGACCGGAGATAGCGCCAGGCATGCCAGGAGGCGGTGGTGGAGGCGGTGCCATACCTCCGACACCAGGCATGGGCGGCGGAGGCGGGGGAGGTGGTGGCATTCCCATCGCACCGGGCATAGGGGGCGGAGGTGGAGGAGGTGGAGGAGGTGGGGGAACGGGGAACGCGCCCGGCATCGGTGGAGGTGGAGGAGGAGGCGGAGGAGGTGGAACGCCGGGCAGTTGACCGGGCATCGGGGGAGGAGGCGGAGGCGGCGGCGGCGGGGGTCCTCCGGCAGCGGTGATCTCGACCTTGGGGGCCTCGCCTTCTGCCGGAGTAATGGGGGATGACGACTCCATGCTTGGGTGGGATGGGCCGGTAGTTGCGCCCTCGTCGGCTTCGGAATCGCTGCCCTCGTATTTCTTGACCTTGGAACCGATCTCGCCGAGAAGCTGTGCCTGCTGCTTTGCATCGACAACTGGTCGTCTCATCTCGATGATTCTCGGGCGCTCGATAACCACACCCTCCTCATCCATCTCGACATCATCTTCGTCAATAGCATGCTGCTCGAGCTTAGCCGGTCGCTTGGACGCTCTCCGACCACGATGGATGGTTCCGAGAACACTGTTAGTGAAGTCGCGAGGTGGCGTGCCGCCACCAGGGGGGGTGCCTGGTTCCCCGTCGCCATCCATGGCTTCTCTGAGGGCACGGAGGCGATCGGAGGGACCATCTGAGTCTCCCCAAATTCTGCCTTCTAGCTTATACTGGGTCTTTTGTCGCTCTAGCTGCTTCTGCAGACGCTCCATGAGGCGTTCACGGTCAAGAATACCTTGCATCTGAGCTGAGCTGGTTTCTTTGCCGGGCTTGCCACTGCTGGCCTTAACAGCATTAGATGCTGCAATGTCCTGGGCATCTCGCAGCATCAGATACAGCTCTCTTGTCTCAAGCTCATAGCGCTGCGCTTCCTTGGCTCGGACGCTTTGAATGTTATTTAATTCGCCTTTGAGGCCGTCTGCCTGGCGCCTCTGAGCCTCAATGAACCGAGACTGTTCGTCTAGCTGCCTCTGCAATTTGGCCACGAGGCCATCGGCTCCGAGCTCCAACTTTGCCTTCATCTCATCTCGCTCCGCCATGGCGGCCTCGGCAATCTGTCGGGACTCCAACGCCTCATCGAGTGCCTGCCGAGCTTCAGAATCGGTATGCAGCTTGTCCAGCAGACTCTGAACCGTGAAGTTGAGACTCTGCTTGAGGTCCATATTGGGTAGGCGTCGGTCCATGGCCACATAGCTGAGCATCGAATCGACGAGCTGAAACATGCGTAGTCGCTCTTCACCATCGTTGGCTCGGATGAGCATGAGGTGCTGAAGCGCGGATACGAAATAGTCATGCGTCTTGGTTCCGTGTAGCTGCTGTTGGATCGTGTCTGCGATTTGAATCGGGTCGGTCAAGTCCTTGGCATCTCCCTCGATATTATCCTTCACACTGCTGTTCTCACGCTCGAGCATATCCTCATAATCAATGGCCTCGTTGGTGCGGAACCGATCAATCTGCTTGTCTAGTAGTTCGTACTGAAACCCCTCCATCTTGGTCAAGATCCTCTTGATGCCACAGGCGTGGAACTGGGCTCGAATGTGAACCCTCATCTGGAGGTCCTTTTCCGGTGCGTCGATGATCATGTTGACCAGAATCAGGGTGGCAACCGCGTATTCCATCAGTAGGTTCTCCATTCCGATGCCTCCCGTACGAAGCTCATCGCTAGCACCCACAAGACTGCCCATCTTTCCTCGCCCATCGACGGTGACTTCCACCAACCGCATCCAGGCGTCAAATCTCCCATTCTCGCCCACTTGAGTCTTGACTTCGTCCAGAGCCTGAATCACTTTCAAGTGTCCTTCGCCGTGAGTGCCCCAGGTGCAGAGGAAGGTCAGAATTTCGCTGACGAGCTTGCGCGTGGTAAGTCGAGATGAAATAAGGCAACTGGCCAAGGCCAGGAGGACCTTTGACTGCATCAAAGCATCGTCGGCGCCGAATTTGTTGTTCATCAAGGCCTTAAGACACTTGACAATGTCGTATTCGCGATCCAAATTCTTCTCCGTCTGTGCAGAGATCGCTCCAGAAGCTGGCCCTCCGTTGGCATTTTTCCTGTTGATCTTGAGCAGCAATGTTACCAGAGCCACTTGACCCTGACATTCGACGAATCGTTTCACCCAGCCAATCTGCTGTGTTCTCAAGTTGACTTCGAGAGACCCCATACCCTTCGCATCCAGCTTATCCTCCATGACCCTCCTGACATACCACTCGGGGGTTCCCTCCTCATCAGAATAGGTGGTTACGTCGGGTGTGGCATACTGATTGGCCCTGGCGGTCTGCTTTCGTTTCTGCTCTCCTTGCCACTCCGTCAGACGGTCCTGGTGCAGCAATGTCCACTTCTTCTCTGCGGGGTAGGCCGTCATCTGTCTCCTGGCTTGCTCGGGAAGATTGTGCCATCCTCGCTTCTGCATGAGCTGCATAAACATCTGCTCGACAACGTAGTTATCATCAGGCTTGGGGAAGTAGAAACCATCGTGAGCGGTCGGGCCGTAGGCGCTCATCTTGGTTAACCGGTGAGACTCGCGGGGCGAGTGAGGCTGGTGATGTGAGCTCAAAGGCGGCGAGGGCGCAAGCGTTGTGTGTGAGGAGCGGGCGGATGCCGGATTCAGGTAGCCCTGGCCGGAGCCGTAAGGGTTATTGAAGCTCTCGCCTGAGGATCGTCCATAGTGAGGGTTCTGGTAAGAGTCGTACCGCACGGGATACGAGCCGTTGGTCGCGGAGCTGGACGTGCTCCCGCGAGCCGGGCCGCCTCCAGGCACAGCTCCGACTGCAGGCCCGGGGCCCCATTGCTGGTACTGGGCCTGCTTGCCGGTGGTGGCCATGGTGATGTTGTTGATGGACATGTTGGACGAGGTGCCCGGGCGCGCCGAGGTGTGGGGGTGGGAGGAAGACATGGCGGACGGATCGATGGACGGATACTGGTGGTAATCGAAGCCGCTGAGGTTGAGCTGATGAGGCACAGGCTCGCGGCGCTGCGGTACGTTGTCGGGCTTGGGGATGAACTCGTGAGCGGCTGGCGAGCGGGAGCCTGGCGGGACGTCGTAGGGGATGGACGTGATCACACCCGCCATCTGGTTGATGCCAGCATCAGGAGAACTGGGTTGGTCGATCGAAATCGACGACGACTCCCGCTTGTGGCGCGAGGAGCGCGAAGAAATTATGGACGCCGTTTCGAACTGATCTGAGGAGCTCTTGGGATCGATGTCGGTGTAGCGCTTGTCGGCGCGGTGCTTGCCTCTGGAGAAGAGGGATCTGCCGCCAGAAGACTGCCTTGACTTATCGGCAGCGGACGACATGATAATTGATCGTGGAGAGAAGTGGGTAGGCGAAACACGTAACGGCAGCGGAGTGCGAGCCCTGGACCGCTCGCATGATGGAGGCCTAATTTGCTAGCAAGATGGACAGGGCTGGGCCTGCAGTGGGGGGAGGGGGGGAGAGGGGGTTTTCTGGCGGATATTTTTCTTTTCTCTTTCTCTTCTTTCTCTCTTCGTTTCTCTTGTTGTTCCTGTTGTCCCTTTCACGGGTTCTATTGCCTTTGTCGTCTCGTGTCTCCGCGCTGGCTACTGCTGTTTCGCGGACGGTCTTTTCGCAAACGCTGCTGAAGATCCAAAGACGGACGAGGTTTTGGAGCAAGGCTGAGATACAGAAGACGGGGCCGCTGAAGGGCTCGAGAAAGTGGTTAGTGATAGGGGGCGGGGACCGTAGAAGGATGCACGCACACACACCAGACTACAACTGAGACCAGGGGTGGGTGGGATTGGATTGATTTCTGTGGTTTTTGTTCGGCGTGTAGTTTTATCGACGACGGCCAAATTCCGTACCGACTTTCAACTGCAGGAACTGCTGCTTTCAGCGTCGCCCTCTGTACTCGTATGCGCTTTGGATGCCGTTCTGGTACTGGCCTCGGAAGACGACGAGCGAATGGATGCAGGTGAGTTCAAGAACGAAAAAGGGCCCCTGACCAAGTCGCATCACAGGGGAGGCCCAGGGTCGGCCACTTTTAGGCTCGGTCAGTGGCGAAGCCTCTGTAGCTCTTTTTGGCCGCCGCAGCGCTAGCAGCGGGACTGATGGGCTAGCTGGGATGCCCGACGGCGCTGAACATTCAACGGAGCGCACAGGCGTCGAGGCCATTGGGTGCCGTGCAGGCGCTGACTTCAGTTGATAGTGGCCCCTAAACCACTGGCGCCGTAGCCTTGAACGGGCCTAATTGGGTCTTGCGTGCATGTGGATCACTGGCATTTGGGCAATCGAAGATGATCCACAATCGACGACAGGCGGGAAATGAGACAAGGGGGGGTTCTGTTCTGGTTGGCTTGAGGAAATGATGGCATTGTGCGATGGGTTGGGTTATTTTTGTTTTATTTTTTCCGGATCTCTTTTGTCAAGGTGCTGGCTCTTTACCAATGCGGCATATACTTGTACTGAGGTACTTGATGATGCGCATGTGCCCAGGTCAGTCAGGATTATGTCATGCCGATGTGTCGCATCAACTGCAAAGCCTCCTTCGAAACAGCCGAGGTACCTCACTAGGACGTACTAGAGGACTTCAAAGCCGCATATAGATCAAATGCTTTAGTCATATGGCTGGCGCATTGATTCTTCTTCTTATTCCTGCTAGAACCCCGTACCTGCTCTGGCGGCATTATGGATGAAACACCTCATAATGACGGACGCTACCGATAGATGGCATGGTAGTACTCGTACCAAGCTTCCGATACTACCTGACAGCTCGGGAATAGGGAGTTGGCGTGCCAAATCTGTAACAATCTAATAAACGGCAGAGCAGATGGGCAATTAAAGATCACGCGTTGGGACCCCCCGTCATGGCAGTGGGGAAGAAAAAGGCCGTGGTCCATGCCACATCTAGAAGCAGTCCCTGGAAGCTTCCAGCTAAAGTCCGATACCCTTTGTTCTTGAGCAAATGGCTGTAGGTCCGGAGTATAGAGTACTTGTTGAAAGCTGAAGTTGTGATATCCGCCTCCTAGCATATGGGTCGTTGATCTCTTACATCTTGGTATCTCAGACCTAGGGTAGCATCCCTTGCGAGCCTGTACTCTTGGCGAAGGTACCAAGCAAGTATACTCCGTATATCCCATGGAAGTCTTCATTATATCTGTGCTGTGAGACCCGTACTTTACCGATAAGAAAAAGCGACGATACGCCATTTGTCCAAGGTGCCTGTCTGAATCTATCGTCAATACTGCCGCACATACTATCTCTCAAATATGTACCTTAGTCATATCTACATAATCCCGATACCTCAAATGACTGTACATTCAGTCCATGGGTACCTGTATATCACTCGCAATCCCGTCATCATCCATCAATTCAATAAATCCCCCGTGTCCCCTTCCCTAAACCGCCTAGCCCCCAGCGGTGGCCCGGCCCTGCAAGTGCTCAACTGCTGGTCGCCGGGCTCTTTAGCGTCTCCGGGGTACGTACTTGCAGGCAGCCTGTCTGCACTCGTACATGGCCCAAGTACCAAGTACCGAGTACTCAGAACTCCATGTCAAAGCCATCTGCTATTGCGTCTCAGCCATCGCCATCCCACAGTCGTCAGCTCGAATCTTAAAGAAGACCCCCCCCTTATAAAGCGCATTCAGCTTGCTTTGCTCCATGGCTAGGTAGGGGTCGGCCCTGTCGCCCTATCGCCAGAATCTCTTCGACGAGCACGGCGGCCACCCGCAGCCGGCGACACATGATCGCATCACCTGTAACAAAAGGGAAGAAAAGAGACACACATCAAAGACAAGATGGGTGACGCACTAGCCGGTATCAAAGTAAGCCTCACCCTCCCGAGAAACAAACCAAAAAAAGAACAATCGACGGATAGCTCGAAATCCCAACTTGAATGCGCCCGCGACTAACGCGCCGCGTGCCGCAAACCACAGATACTCGTCATCCCCGCCGTCATCTCGCTCATCCTCTTCCTCCTCCTCACTTTCGTCGTCGTGCCCTGCTGGCGCCGCTACCGCGCCCGATACAGCCAGTATCTGCCCATCGACGCAATATCAGAGCACACGACCTCCTGGCGCTACCGCATCACCAACCGCATCGTCCGCATCGCCAGCCTCCCCTTCCGATGGCGGCGAGATAGGGATATCGCCATGGCCGGCGGCATTCCAGATCGCGACCTCGAGGAGGGCGAGGAGCTGGAGGACATTGACGAGGACATTGCCCAGGTGCTCGATGCCCTGGCCCGGTCCAGGCGGCCGGACAACGAGAGACGCCTAAGCCGGGAGTAAGTCCCATTGGCGGCCATATGCATTTCGTTTTCGTTCTGTGCTCCGTGCCAGGCTGACTGTATATAAGGCTAGAAGAGGGATTTATAGACGACAGCAGCGATTCAGACTCGGATTAACACGAAAGCCTGCTGAAGAGAAGGATAAAAGAGAAGCGCAAGGGAAACATGTCATTATAATACATCTAGAGATATCACGCCATCTTCTGGCAATCAAGGGGGTTTACCTGCTCCAAAGGCATAATCAAAGGCCAAAAAGGCCACACAATCAACAGGGCATTACTAGCGACTCATCAAATACGGCCTCGTACCGAGTGTGCTTCAAGGGTAAAGACATACGAGTAGCCTTACATACTATCCGCCTGACGTTGCGACACTGAGTACAAGTTGGCGCCAAATGCGATTGGCGATTCAGCACAGTTGGATAATAGCCGCTTCCTTGTATTTCTATTAGATATGTATAACACCATCTATCGACTTTATAGAAAAGACCTGCTTATGCTGTCCCACAAACACCCCATACTATAACAAAACGTTCGCTCCGCTCTTCAATGCAGAAAATCCACATGCTGTCCTCTGGGTATCTTGTGGCCGGTCTAAAGCTCGAAAAGAGACGAAATCATGGCTTGTCGCTGAAACTGGCTGTGCAAATTGAAAAGACAAAACCAAAGAGAATGAACATCCCTGAACGCCGCCGCTATGCGCTTCGTCGCTATCCCAGACGTGAATAATGTACCGCCATCGGAATTGAAGAGTTTCTCAACCTTGAGATACCTTTAATCCCCCATCTTTCTCGACATTCTCAAGATGTGATCCCACTGATCACGGGTGTAATGGGCCGTTCCTCCGCCACAACGCCTGCATATATACATGACGTTTGAACCGTCGGTTACATATCCCCCTCCTACAAATACCACGGGTCCATTGTCTGGATCCCTTCCCAAAGAAGCTCCTGTAGCTGCACGTACGGGTGAATCGCCCACCGGGCTACCGGGCTGCGTTACGGGAGTTGCAATATTGGGAAAGCTAGATTGTATCGAGTCGTCCGAAAGTGTTCCCGAACTCTCATCACTGTCTGCGAGACTCCTCCGTGATCTAACAAAGGGGTTATCAAAATTGGGAGGGAGAGCCTGGATGATGTCACCCATCATCTCTTCAGGGTTCTCGTCTAGAAGATGCTCGGCCGGGATTCCAAGAGTTGTTCCGGTTGGAGATCCCGGGGGAGTGAACTCTTCTTGGGCCCTAATGGTGAGTTGGTGGTGCGTAAATTCGGAAGAAACAGTCCTACGAACGTGAACGCCTTCAACCGGCGAGAATGACGGGTAAGGATCATGAAGCAGATCTGTAGGCCGAGGGTGTGTTTCTTGCCTGATGGTGCGCCTGACCATGATTTCCCTGCGGCTGGCTTCCAAGCGACTGAACAAGTTTTCCCTGCTACCGGATTCAAGATCTTGCTGAGTCGTATCACGGTTTCTCCCCAGACGCGTCCATGATGTAGCGATATGGTCCCTGACGGATCGGCCAAAGTCCCTGATCCTCATTGCTGTTTTTTCCAATTGCTGGCTGGCAGAAACGATTGTGTGGTAGCTCCCAGAGCGAGACTGGAGATTAAGACGAGACATACAGACTGTTGTATGATGCAGATAAGAGATGGCTGTTTGGAATGAAAGTGTGGTCATGTTTATATAAATGCGTTGCTGGATGTCAAGTCGAGAGGTTTCAGGGTGGCAGATGCGGCGTGTACGCTCTATATAAGCATAGTACGTTTCTCTTTTTCTCTTTCAGAGATGTAGCTGCCTCCCTGATGGCAATGTTGGCTATTCAGTTCTATCACGGTAAGCTCGACTTTGTGTGTTGTGACACTCCAGGAGATTACTATGGATCGGCTACTTCCTGCTTGATAGAGTCGGTGCTTGCCCTGAATGACAGCTCTTCTCTTGTCGTATAATCTTTGATTTGGAATAAAGTATAAAAATTGTTTACTCAAGACAAGGTGACGTTTGCTATGCTCATCTGCTTGGTTTAAAAGGTTCAGGCAGACATCTACTTATGCATCTATTGATGAAATTTTGTATGGTTAGCCTCTTCATGTGTTTGAAACAGTAGAGCCGTCAATTCCATATTCCCGCATTAATAAAAAATATACATCAATCCAATTCATTTTGCAAGTCCAGAATCAAAAAGACGTCCCATCCTCATTAAATGATGAACATGTTGATGCACTGGGCAATTCTAGGTACAGGTAGGCAGGTCCAGCTACTGTACTACAGCGCTCACTCCCCCCACTAACACCAGCCAGACCACCAGCAACCGCAACTTCAACTTCAACCGTGAACTTGTCCATTTTCACGCCACTGCCAACGACATTCGCCCCAAGATGAGATTCCACAGCGATTTGAAAAATATTCGCACATTTGCCAGTGAGTTCATATTCACCACAGAAACCTTATCATCATCGTATATGAATTTAGCTAACGGCTTCACCCTCTCAAAGAGCTCACGGCCGCATTCTCCGCCTTGGAGAAGCTGGTATGGCTGCGCCTGAGCGATGACACGGCGCATTTCACCGTCGTGCCGGACACAGGATCGCAAATTTGGTCGTAAGACATCACCTTCATTGCTCTTCCTCTCCGTTGTTGAATGAAATGCCAACCCGTTTCTGTCAAAAGGGCGCTGCCAATGGACTTCCTCTTCGAAAACTGCACCATCCAGTCCGCCGAGCCAGGCAACACCATCAATCTGGAACTTTCCCTCCAGCCGCTCCATCGCGCCCTCAAATCCGCCCAGAACAGCATCTCAGCTTCTCTGCGCCTCACCAAGAAGAAGGGCGTGCCTGTGCTATCCATGACCATCACTACCACCACATCCAGGCCGTCCCACGGAAATGCACCTGCGCCCTCCAGGCCAACTCACGACGATCCCTTCGGCGACGACGACGACTTTTCGTCAGCCCATCTCGAGACTTCTCTACGGAGAGAACACGAGAAGATCATCACCCAGGATATTCCCATCCGAGTGCTCCATCCAGACACCGTTGCCTCGACCGTCCAGCCCGTGCTGCAGGAGCCTGATGTGCACATTCAGCTGCCGCCCCTCCTCCAGCTAAAGTCCATCTCGGACCGCTTCACCAAGCTCGCCCTCGCTTCCAACGGCTCCAACAAATCTCCCAGGCTCGAAATCAGCGCAAACATGCACGGCGGCTTGCGTGTGCGCATCGCCACCGAGACGGCGGACATCTCCAGCGCCTGGACGGATCTCGATAACCCGGAGCTAGATCCGGCCCAGCTCAGGGTCCCCATCGAGGATCACCCTAGTACGAAGTTTCGCGACCGTGGACCTGACTCTTGGGCTTCGATTTATGTGGACGGGAAGGACTGGAGCAGAGTCCTTAGTGCAGGTAGACTTGAGGGGAGAGTCATTGCATGTTTCTGTCATAATCATTCTTTGGTCTTGTACGTCTATATACCGCATTACGATGATGCAGGCGGGGACGATGCAGTTCTAACGGTAAGTTTGCGGGCTCCTATTTCATGTCTTTATATATATGCTAACCCCCAACCTTAGTATCATGTCCAAGCATACACTGCATAAGGTAGCTGGCGAATGGCGACGCTATAAACAGGCGCAAAGGTATTTGGGGGATTTCACGGCGCATTTCAGAAGATAAGGGATCAAATGCTGTTTTTTTATTTTTGCTAGTCTCATCCAAGATATCCAAAAAATGTTGCGTAGTCATGTATATCTGCATCAGTCATCCTCTCGTTCTCTCATGCCATCATTCCCCCGTTCCAAAACTTCGTCTCAAGTAAAATAAAAAATAAACCCCAGCCAACAATTATTACAGTACCATGACGTCCAATCCTATAATACAATACTACCACCGGCTGTTGTTGATAAAGAAACAGATTCTGTGCTCAATGCAAGATGAAGAATGAAAGAAACACTAGACATTCTATAAGTTTGTTGTTTTCACTTGGCCATGACATCAACATAACGCCCAGCCTTCCTAGCCTTCTTCTGCCCTGGTTTGCGAGGTCCAGCGCTCAACAAGTCATCGATGCTGCTGGCATTGCTCATGCTCGTAGTAGGTCTGCTAGAGGGCTTGCTATCGGTGCTTGCACCAGACATGGACCGCAGCATCGGCGGCGCGCTAAGACTCTCCTGCGACGGAGCTCTGTTGAGGACTGCCGGCGGAGCCAAAGTTCCAAAGCCAGATGACGGAGGAACGCTGGATCGGCCCTGAGCGGGAGGCGGCGTGAACTGCCTGAGCGGAGGGGTTCCGCTGACGGATCGGGGACTGCTGCTGGCCTTGGGGGGCGGAGGAGTGGCCGACTTTGCTTCGACCTGCTCGGCTCCGGGCTTCTTGTTGATCCACCGCTTGAGCTCGGGATCATATACGAAGCTGCTCGCTTCACCGAGCTTGGCCTTGATAGGTTTACCGGGAGATGAGGACGAGGCCTCTCCAGGGCTTCCAGCTTCCTTCTTGCTACCTCCGAACCAGCTGGAGAAACCCCATCCTTTCTTGGCCTGCGCAGCTTCGGCGGCGCGTTTGGCTGTTAACAGTTAGCACAAATGATTCTTCATAATCATCACAGGAGTGGTGGGAGGAACAAAGACACTTACCATCTTCTTCTGCGGCCTTGCGGAACATCTCTTCATTCTCACGATCCTTTTCCGCCTTGGATTTCCCTTTAGGCTGAGGGGCGGAGAAATCATCGTCATCGTCATCCATGAAGCTCTTCTTCTTAGGCTTGGGCTCATCATCGTCTTCTTGCGTAGATGGCCCAACTCCGGGATCGTACGACGGTGGCTCATACCCATAAGGCTGGAATGACGGAGGCTCATAACCGCTTGATGGGGGTTCATGACTGTTTGATGGGGCTCCAGTTACGCCATCATCTTTGCCTTCAGGTTCCAATACAGATGTATTTGTTGGAGGTTCATATCCGTAGGAAATAGGCTGGTATCCTTGGGTAGAGGGGCCTGCCGCTGATCCTTCAGAGAGCGGCTGCGATGAGGCTGATTCTTGATGTCCGTATGGCTGATATCCGGTGTACCCTTCATTTTTAAGGATAGGAGTCATTGGCTGGAAACCGAGGCCTGATGATGCAAATCCATTGCTGTGAGGTGGAGAGCCAGCAAGAGAGGAGGAAACTCCGTAGGTGCTAGTATTGTACTCGTTCGAGTTCCGCCCACCCTGAGGGAATGACGCCGACACCTGTGGTGATTCGGCGCCATACGTAGGCTGAGAGCTGGCAGGAGCGTATCGAGACAACGCTGACGACAGGGCTGATGTTGCGGCGGGAGCGCCAGCCCCAGGGTAGCTGGGGGAGCTGATGCCCAAAGTGTCAAAATTAGAAACAGATGGAGAGCGGCTCATTGATGGGGTTCCGATGCGGGCAAATGGACCGCTTTCCTCATTTGGCGTTCCATTGGTGCCATCAGGTTCGTCCCCGGCAACAAACTTGTTGAATCTGTTCCACATGCTGTCTGAGACCTTGTTCATGGTAGGCTTGGACATCCATGAGGAGGATTCTTCCTTTGGTGCCTGTTTCAAGCGTATCATGAAGTCGTCGACAGCCGCTTCCAGCAGCTGGTGGTGATAGGGCGACCTCTTTGTCTGAGAAGATATCGCCGTAAGAATGGCATCGCAATACTGAAGAGCCCTGTCCCGGAAGCCATATTCAGCCAATGTGATGGCATGGTGAAGTTTATAGGCTGCCAGGTGAGGAGCGCCAGCGGCTGCTGAAGCGGCGCCTGAAAGAGAAAGGCCGTACTCGTAAACCTCGCTGAGTTGTAGAGCTTCCGTATCCTTGGCGATTTGGTGCGAGTTCTGGCGATGGTCTGATCCCAACAAGACAAAATCGACGTTTGGATCATCGAAACCACCATACACAGATATCTGCCTGCTGAACATGAAACAGATGTGAGCTGCTTCAGCTCTTCCGTAGCTAGAAAGTAGCTTGCCCAAGGCATTTAGCCCGCGAATGTCATCGGCACTACGATTGCTCAAAACGAGAGTCAAAGTCTCCCTCCACTTGTCCAAGCCTTCCATAGAGTCCTTGGCCGGCTGGGAAGATGATCCTGTCGAGACCAGCTGCAAGCCAGCACGGGCATGCACAGGAACTAGCTCATCAACGCAATCGTCATAATTGCCGGATAAGATCTTGTATAGAGCCGCAAGAGACTCATTATTCTGGCCAGGGTGGTTGACTTCCTTGCGGACAAACTCCTGAGCAACACGCTTGTACAGGTCGGGCGAGACTGTGTGGGAAATGAGCATGGCATGGCCCCATAAACGCTTGTCGACCGCGGCCCAGATAGCAGTTTCACGGTCACCTTTGAGAAGGGAATGGCGAATTTGTTCCATGGTAGCAGAATCGGCGCCATCGGCCTGCATTGACGTCAATGAAGTGCCATTGATACTGATGGTTGGATCGGTCGGAAATAGAGCATCGTTTTCCGCAGTTGGCGTAATAGTCCCTGGGGAGAGAACATCTCGGACGGCCTTCTCCGCTGCAGGGTTGCCTTCCAGCACACCGTCATACTCGACAAATACGCGAAGTATCCTCCACAGCAACAGGCGTTCAATGGCCCGTTTCGCCTCGTAAGAAAGCTGTGGGTGGAAGGACACGTCTGGCAATTCCTTTGCCAAGCTTTCGATTCCAGCACTGAGCCACGCAAGCACCTCTTTCTTCTTCGATTTGCCCTTGAGTGGGCCAGGGAACTTGGCCAGGCGGTCCTGCAAAGACTCAATGTCCTTGATATTCCGCACCCTGACTTCTCCTAGAGATCGCAACATGGACGGCGTCGTTTGGTTCATGACATATCTCGGAATGCTTTTGGGGAAAGAAGTAACTACTGTTCCGCCAACTCCCCAAGAAATAATAGGAACACCTTGCCATCTATGGAGAGGGTCTTGCTCTCGTCCATCGGTGGGAGCAATCATGCTCATAGCCTGATATGTAGAGCGAGGCTGGGTGATGGGCGCATATGCAGTTTTGGTGGCTGGAGGAGACGCAGGCGAATGCGAAGATGAAGGTCGACGAGCGTGCTCTAAAGGCTTCGCGCCATACTGGCCGCCTCGAGTAGCCCCAGGAGATTGCGTCTGAGCTCGCGGGGGTGGAACAAACCCTGGTTGGGTTGAAGGTAAACCGCTAGGTATGTAACCGGAGCCTGGCCTCTTAGGAGGTGATAAGGTAGCCTGAGCTGAAGGAGTGGGCAAGGGTGGTGGCGAACGGGTCGCACTGAGAGATTGGTCGTCTTCCTCCTCAACCTCGCGGGTGGGAGGGAGAGAGGCAACACGGGTCAGTCTCGGTTCGTACGAGGAACTAGCTCGTCGCTCAGTGTGAACAACTTCTCCATTGACACCATGTGGCTTGTCACTGCTGATCTCGAAATGTGCCAGCGGGCTAGAGGTCCGCGGAAGGTGAGGCAGGACTGCCTGAGGTGGTGTGGCCGAGACGGCGGAAGTGTATGCAGCAGTTGGATAGGATGCAGGTGGTGCTGGAGAATACCGGCTGGCCGGTGGTGGCGCACTTTGGCTGGCAGTTCCCTGGGGAGGAGGAGCTGGGGAGTATCTAGATCCGTTGGCAGCCGGTGAAGGCAGAGGGCCACTTGGCGATTGAAGGGGCGCATAAGGGCTGACTCGTTCAGGAGCCACAAGATTCACCTTGGCGACCGAACTTGAAGGAGCAGCAGGCGGAATCTGAGTTGCCATGGGAGGACTCAGGGGAGACGGCCCATGGGGGGAGGTTGCCAGCGCATATGGGTTGGGGGAAACAGCCCTAGTGCTCTGTCTAGAGATCGAACGCGGCCTGGGTGCAGTCGGCAAGTCCTCGAAGAAACTCGACGACTTGTGCCGCAGAAGAGGTGATTTCTGAATACCGCCTGGAGGCGCCGTCTCAGTCGCGCTCATGCTGGCGCTTCGCGGTGGGGGTGGAGGCTGTAGTGAAGAATTGTTGTCCAGTTGTAGCTGCTGCAGGCTGGCCCGTTTCCTAGGCTTCACGGTGGAGGTAACCAAATCTGATGGGAGATCATAAGGCGATGAATAACCTCCCTTGGACTTGTCGGCAAAGCTCTGGGCTCTAGGCGAATCTGACACCTGTTGCGCGGGAGGATGAGGAGGAGCTTGGCCGTATTGCGGCGCAGCTTGGAATGCCGGCACCTGGGGGGAAGGTACACCATAAAACGACGGCTGTGATGGCGTCGTAACAGGTGTATAGGCAGAAGCGGCGGATGTCGACCGCTGCTGAGTAGGTGCATATGTAGTAGGCGCAAAAGCAGGTGTTGACACCACGCTACTGGCTTGTGAGCTCAGCGGCGCGGTCTGAGTTGGCTGTGGTGCTTCATCAAGGTCATCCAAAAGGCCTTCATCATCGCTGCCCAAGAATGCAGCAGCATCCACCTCTTCTTTATCTTCTGCCGTCGTGTTCTCAATAAGGAAATCGTCACCATCATCATCGCTGGCGAAGGCTTGTTCCCATTTTGACGAAAGATCCTGGCCTGAAGGAGCTCCTGTTCCGTTCGCGTTGTCATGTAATTCGAGCGGATTTGGCTTCTCAATTTCATGAGCACGCGGTGAGATGAGG